GAAAGGTTCAACAACTGCTGCCCACAAACTACGGCTGCCTTTTAAATATTCTGATTTTAACTGGACAGTAAGGATGCAGATACACTCACCTTCCAGCAACTGTGTGGTCTTGTGGCTGGGCCGCAGCAGTGTTCCTCTGTGAACGGCGCAGTGACCCCCCTGGATTGGAATTAGGCCGGTTGGACATTGGCACCTCTCTCCTGAAGGGACATACCCTTTCTAGACACTACCATTCACTGTAATAAAGGAAAAAGAGACCACAAAAGAACATTAACAAAATACAAAGACCACCCTTAAACCTGCACCCTCTCACCATCACCACCAAGTTGTCTGTGGTTTAAAATAAGCTGCCGTCTATTGAGATTGCGTATCATTGAACCACAGGTTCACCACTCTGGCCCCTTTGAGATGATCAGTGGCAAAACTTTCTCAAGACTGTACATGAAGATACAACATCTGGGTGGGGGTTGGCAGCAACACCACATGCTAGTAACTACATCCCCTCACAGCTGAAAATCAAAAATGGGGAACTAAGAACTTTTAAAGACTTTATGCTAACTATATTACTGTGGCCCAATATGACCCGTTAAAAATAACTAAATCATAGCACAGAGCACAGTTCGTGTTCCTAATCTCTCAATAACAGTCATAACAAAATGTATACTTCTCTGAATAACATTCAGTAAAATACAGCAGTGCTGTTAATATTAAACCTTACTGCCAATATCAAATTTTACTGAAATGTTTTAGTTTTTCCCCCTCCCTGTGCTCCATGAATATCATCAAGTACCCTACTTACGCACAGTATAATACATTTTTACACATTGGTACCTTTAAATCTTTGTCAGAAAGCACTACTGGAACCTTTTCACATACTTAAACTCATCAAAAGGATCATTTTACAATTTCCTTACAACAGCAAAAGATTCCTTTGTGTATTATTAACCAAGGTCACAGCCTAATTAAAATAAACATACAATGCGGTAGACTATAATTTAATTCTTTTCTGGTTTCAGTTTAAGTCCTAAACTAACTGCCAACAGCAATTATGCTTCAAAATGACTACAGCATTGTATAAAATTTATATATCTGATCCAGTGTGCTTAGTGTTAGGGGTGCAGTACAATCTTAACAGTTTAATTGATCAGAATAGTACAGAAGTTTTCTTTTTAACATTAGAAGTGAATGCATGTATCTAACTCACAGGAGTCAATAAAGTGACAGTACTGATAAGACAATTGATTAACTTGATCTAAACACATACAGGAAGATGATTTCATTATTTGCTAGACAAAAACCATTGAATCCCTAAATAAATATGTTTTTAATTTTCTTTTCAAAAGCATCTGACTATTTAAGTCACAAGTTAAACTATGATATCACGGATACTGATGATAAAAATACGACACACTTGCCAAGCTCACTGGGCCATGTTAGGCCTGCACTGACAGTGCATCCTAGTCTTTGTTATTCGTCCATTCTGACAACTGGTGTTCCCCACTAGAGTATAATGGTATTAGTTAAGCTCATCAAATGATTTACAGCCTCACATAGACCATCGACCCAGTTTATTTTACCACATAACTAAAACAAGAACTGAAGTGTCCTATTTTTTATACCCATGATTTACAGAGGCCTATATTTCTGACGTAGTTGTCCACCACCGACTAACGCTAGCATGTTTAGCCACTTAATATCCTAGCAAGCCCCATACATTTTAACAATACCTCCATCGTATCGGTTTATTTATACAGAAAAGCTTCACACATCCAAAAGCGAAGCTTGTGGCGTTTACATCTTGAATCTAAAAAAGAGAAAACGCTAGAAGACTTGCTAACTGCGGGCCAGCAGTTAGTTAAAGTTACGCTGGCTAACGTAGCAACGGTTACACTGAAATGCGTAGTTGGCGTGCCGGTGTGTCAACCTATTCAGCTAGTACCCTAGCCAAACAAATTGTCACATTTGAGAAGCTAGCTTGTTTGGGTTACGAAACGACATAATGCTTACTAAATGGCAAATACGCCCCTCCAACTGGCGAATAACGATCGGGTTCATCCGAAATTAGCTTCACGTCGAAAAAAGGCAACATCGACAAGACCCGTCTTTCGACAGCGGTTTAATGTAATAAAGCTAGCAGGCTACAAGTAAACTAACGCAAGCTAAGTTGGCAGTCAGATTGCCAGGACACACAGCTCTGTGTACGTGTACGCGTGTGTGTGTGTGTGTGTGTGTGTGTGGTGGTGGTGGGGGCTGACAATCAAGTTTAGAGAAAAGAGAAATACGTTTGTGTTTCGTAAGCAAGCTCACCGTCTACGATTGATGGGGGTAAATAAATCCAAAATACACAACTGTCACCTAGACATGTAACGACGCTGATACAGTTCTACACTCTCCATGCAATTGTCAGCGCGAATTGTTATGTACAGACAGACTCCCAACTAATGTTGGTAAGCTATAAGGATGGCTAACAATATTTTCTGAGCTGACTTAAGGCCAGTGCCTCCCTCTCACTACTACAGCGCTGGCTAGCCTTTTAGCTACTGTTAGCCAGGAAGACAAGTTGACCACTAACAAACAGCGTGCCAACACAGCACATGGTTCTTGTTAAGACTTGGGTAAATGGGACACATAACGCCAAACAACTCATTCAACTACCGTTAAAGTACCTTGCTCAGAATTCAAAGCGTCACGGCTAGGTTATCATTAGCAAGCTAATACTAGCCTAGCCACAGCGAGGGTTTCTTCAATGACCGTTCTCTCGCAAACAGTAAGCTGACAAAAAAAATAAATAAACAGCCGGCTATTGGCTTTAAAATACCTCGCTGTTTTCAATTAAGCTGGGAGCCGAGGTAACACCACATTACTAACCCCGTCGAGACCGAATTAGCAGCTACAGGACTGTCGCGCAGCTTACGATGTTTAATCAAACAAGAGCGTTATAGCTGTTACCAGCTAACCTTGGCATGCCAGCTAATTAACGTTAGCGAGCCTTGTTGTCGATGGCTAACATTTTGCCAGCTCGACAGGATGGTTAAAATGATTTGTGTTGAAAACAGCGTTTTTGGCAACACCGCACCAATTCAGTGTTTATGATAAAGTTTTGATCAAAATTTCCCAAACATTAACAAGTTGTCTAGCTAGCAGTTAGCAAGTAAACGCTAACTAGCAAAAAGAAATGGCCCCTGATACCTTTAGACACAAAAAAAACAGGAAAGCAGGACCGGGATTCGAGTTATTTTCGCAACACCCATTCTTCCGATGTATTTCGAGGTTAAATACTGTCAAAATCCCAAAAGACTACAGGTTTAAATGTCAGTGAAAATGTCTACCTTTTGGTATAATGTTGTTACCTATTTGTTCCAGTGTTGTAGTTGTAACAGACAGTGCACCAGCTCCTCTTTTCTCTCTACCACTGCTAGTTTCACATCAGCTGAGGGGCCTACAACCGCAATATACCTCCGCGTGATTCATCCGCTCCGGGACTAGTTTTCTCCTTATTTTCTGTATCTGCTTGCTTTCAGTCAACAAAGCGAGCGCGAGCACTGGATCGGCTGCTCTTTCGAAACAAAGCGACGGGTTTCTAATGAAGACAATTCAACTATTTTTGTAGGCATCCAGAGACAGTCGCTGAATCACTGAAGTCATCGGTAACATTAGCTTGTCATAAATATTAAGTATCAATCCGCTGGGTCGTGACCCCCCTCCTCCCCCCTTCAACAGACATATATGTAAAATTAATATGCCCCGCATAACTTTTTGTTATTACCCAACATCAATGAAAAAGCAATCGGTCCGTTTCATGAGTCGTTGTGCAAAGACAGTTTTAGTTGCTTTTTAGTTGTCATGGCAACATTTTTTGCGTCCAAAATGGCGTCTTTGCTTGGGGATAGACTGTTTGAAATTAGTGGTCAGGGTCCGCCGCCTCAAAAGGATTTTTTTCAACTTGTCATTACCAAAAACGAGGTTATGTATTATTTATATAACAGACTTTCGAGGAGTAACTGTATAAAGCGTGCTTATAAAAACAATCCCTCTATTTGAGGCTAGCTTAATTTTCACGTTATTTAGCTTTAAATATGGCTTTGCTACTATTTTCTAATATTTATGCTTAACAAATAACAAGCTAATAGCAATATGTTTTAGTAAAATCATTTGCCCTGTTCCAGTAGCATATCGGCATCTTGTAGCCACTACTTCAAGAGAGTCTCCTGGATTAAAGTCTTGAAGTCCCATCTTTGTTTTTCCCCTCTAAATTTAGGTAATACTAACCTCATGGAGGATTTCTTTGCGACTTGAATGCAGAGGTCTTCCCCCAAATCAGCAGAAGACATCCCATCAGGACTTCCAAAATGATAAAACTCTACAGTGTAAGTTTTCTTCATCGAAATCATCACTCCCACTTCCATGAAGTTCTTGATAATATTCTTTTCTAACCTATTTCTGAATCTTGTTTGGGTTTATAATTTGACATAGAAAGGGCTGTGTTTGTCGACTTATCATCTGCAGATGAAGTCGGTGCTGTTTTTGGGCAAAGGATCCTGGATTACACAGCAGCACTGTGCCAAGGAAAGTTTGATTACCTGGAGCGTTTACCTGATGACATCATGCTCCGAATCATGTACTGCCTCGAGCTGAAAGACACGGCACTGCTGGCACAGACGTCACGCAGATTCAAAACGGTGAGGACAACGGTAAAGTACTGGATTTGTTCGATGATACAGAAATAATGCTTTAGTGTCTATTGTTTTTTTCTTGTGTTCAAATTCATTTGTGTTCACGTGTATGTTGTGCTGTGCTCTAACCGGATTGTACCAGCTCTTCAGCTCTGAGAAGTTTTGGGAGCAGACTGTGAGGAACTGCGCTGGGTTTAACAGGGACATTGAGGACATAGCCAGTGCCATGGGCTGGAAGAGCACCTTTCTAACTTTTTTCCACAACAGTGATGATAAAAAACAGCAGTAAAATATATATTCAAAAACAAACCCTTTTATTATTGTTGCAAAACAAGTAAAATCACACTGGCTCATTAGCAAACTAAAAAAGACTTCAGTAATGAATGAGGGCTTTTTTTGTGTGTGTGTGTGTGTGTGTGTGTGTGTGTGTGTGTGTGTGTGTGTGTGTGTGTAAAAATGTTGTGAATATTCTCCAAAGGAAGTCACTACTTTTGCATTACAAAGGAAACTCTTGCTTGCAAGTTTTGTTTTGTTTCAAAGAGTGTGCGTTGTGTAAGATTCCTTGTAAATGACATTAAATTGGCACTTCATGTCTGGATGACAACCTGGTGAAATTAAAATGTAAACAAACTTACAGAAAAATACATAAGCAACTGAAGTCCTGCTGACATCATGTCATACTTCCTGTTTACATTTGCTGGTGAACTGCTGGCTGCGCCCTCTGCTGAAAGCCCTCAACCGGCCTCCGCTGTCTTTGCATACACAAGGCAGCCTGGCTTTCTGTGGGATCACTGAAGCAGCCAGCAGAGGGAGCAATGTCACAATAAAAACGTCAAAATGAGTCAGATGACAGGAGGAGGAGGAGGAGGAGGAGGGGGGAAATCAAGTATGTAAAGGTAACGTGTGCAAAACAAGTGCTGTAGTTCTGGTTACCATATCAAGGCCTAAAAGACTCCAACTTACTTATTCTGGATTAAAAGCTTGTACATATACGTGTGTAAGGACATCTGACACAGCAGTCCTACCTACCTCTCCTGAAACCTGTACCAGCAAGCTACAGTAACATAAGACAAAGGTATGCACTGTTTTTCTCTGTTTACAGGTACTTTAGAATCAGAGCTGGCATGTTATAGTAAATTTTAAAAGAATAACATAATACAGTCCTACTGTCATGTAAGAATGCCAAAAAAAGAAACAAAACCTAAGTAAGCCCTTGTGTTATAACAAAAAGTAGAACACGTGTTAAACTGCAGGTAGTTTAACATAAATGACCGCGCCTTCCTGCAATATCAAATATTTCTGTGGCCAAATGATAGCTGTGTGCTGGAGTGATCTGACATGACAGCATACAGCCCTGAATGGTGGGTACCATGACCTATTATTAGCCCCTGACACCGCCTTCTCAGCTGAGTCTGGTCTAGGAAAAATATTCATTACGTAACAATAAAGAATCTGTCTCCCAGACCCACTTCCCAAATACCACAGCAACAGCTAGGCCTCACTCTGAGGCACAGAGACATCAGCCACATCCATTTGATTACTGACTTGGTGTAGGGCTGTGTGGGTTTTTTCATGCTTATCCATTTACTGCACACATTCACAACACCACCCCTCCTTCTCAGTTCCTCTTTGTGGGTCAGTGATGCAGCGGGAGTGACGCAGCAGTAGCAGCAGCCTCCAGAAGGCAACTTCGCACAGCAGGAACCGGGAACCTCTGCCAGAGCCATAGTCCACAGACGGCAGTGACGAAGGGAAAGTGGTAATGACCTGATCCGGGCTAGAGGAAGAATGGGAGCTGGGTAGTCGCTCTCCTCCTTCTAAACAAACACCAGAGAGGCTTCCACAGCGAAGGGACAGGCCCGGCAAGACCTTCCACACAAACGTTTTGGTAGGCATCTCAAAGTACGAGTGCTTGTTGCAGCAGCAACATAAGTTGTCCAAGGGATGAATGTCTTTGTATGCTAAAGAGTGTGAATGCTTTGAGAATGAGAATGAGGCCTACTCAGCCTTCTGCTGCAGTCTTTTCCTCTCAGCCTTTTCCCCGAAGAGCGTCCCTGCAGGCCGCAGCTGAGCTCACTGAGCATCAGAGGCGAAGAGGCCTGTTAACTTTGTCCTATGGTTTTAAACACATCCTAGCTGTAATGTCAGGGTTATGTTTACAAAATACCAATATGAGCACAGAACTTCCAGTTAGGACAGTTATTTTCTTTCTTATAATTTGCAGGCCTCTTTAAGCTTTAGCTTGAGACCTAACCTCGTAAATCCCAAAGCAATTGTGCCAAGCAATAAATTAAAAAAAAAAACCCTAATAAGGGTATCTAGGCTGTTCATACAGATGAGTTATTATTTAGGTTAAAACAATAAGAAGACCACAAAATGGGCTTTTTCTCATAAATAAGAAATGATTTGTTTTTCCAGCATCAGAATCTGCTGTCAGGTTTTACGGAGGAGAAAACCTGAAATTAGACACAAACTACTAATATATACTGAAACCAGGGTTTTAATTTGACGTCTAATATCTCTTTGCTGTGAATTCGAGAACCACACAGGCGCTAACTAAAACAACAGGTGGCTGCTATGATTGGACAGAGATGTCATACCAGGAAGGAAAATATAAATACATATATGTATATATGTCTTGACAGTTCAAGGCAATCGTGATCAAAAATTATCTGTTTGATGTACCGCCCACTTTGTGACATGCAAATCTCGATAAGCTTATTTAAAAAAGCTTATAAACTTGTCTGACCAGTAAGAAATTGATGCTGTTCTTCCTCTTTTCAATATCTTGCAGTCTATAAATATTAATTAAATGCAGCTTACTGAAAAAGAGCTCTTAATGGTTTCTGCACACAGTGGAATCACACGTGTCTATTGAAAAAAATGGTGGCAAACAATAACCTAAATGGTCTACATGGATTAGGTTTAATTTGTTATAAAGCAATAAATGTCTAGCCATTCTAATCTCCATCTTTTTATCATCAAGTTATTTCTTACTCTCAGTATGGGGACTTACTGATACACTACAGTGATGCAAAAAATGCCTTCATGGTAGCGATGATTACTCCAGTTTTAGCACATTATGGGCCGGATTAAACGCTCCTAGCTTTCTTAGTCCAGAAGAAGGCTTAAGTAGTGGTGAGAGTCTAAAAACAAATGTATTAAACCACCTTCCCTCCCAGAAATGATGCCAAATGAAAGTGAAATCATTTTTACAGCTTTTTCATTACACTCTGGTGCTTTCCAAGAGCAGCCTCCGCAAACCGTTAACTTTATTTCATTTTCATTTTTTGTACACGTGTTTTTGTGACCACCTTATTCTGTTTAAAGGTTACTTTGACATGTAGTAGTTTTACTGTACGGTGTAAGGCACAGACAATCAAAGCAAAACAAGGTTACTGTGTAGACTTATTTAAATGCAGATTTAAATGCATCCATGCACACAAATTAACTTCTTCCCACCAAAGCAGGGTTCTCTCATTCACATGCGTGAGAGCGAGTAGATAAGAACTTCTCACAGAATGGGCGGATAGTTTGACGCTGCATGATGAAGGTCAAACGAACCTGTAGGCTGACTCTGCTGAGAGTCAGACCAGAGAATACAAAGTAAACTTTACAGTAACACACGCTGTAATTATGGCGTTTTCACCACAAAGCATTGTTCAAAAGCCTTAAAGGATCAGTCTGATCCAAGCATGAACTAAAGTGTCCAACCAATACCACTATCATTTAGGGGTTTTTTTTCCTTTTGGTGTCAGGCAGTTTGTGTCTTCATATACATAAACTTTACTTTCTTTGCTTTACAAAGGTTAAAAGAAAACATCATCATTCCGCTGTCACTCTCAAACTGACTGCTTTTCTAATTTTTACTCTGAATCAAACAACTAATCCACGTTTTAATGTTTGCTGCTACAGTAAAAATATGTTTAATCTGTCTTTTTGTTGCTTTACACTGTAAGTTCACACAAGCAGATATGTAGATGATGATATTTGAAAAGAAAACTGAACAGCGATGAGCGGAGGGCTGCGTGCCACGCCACCCAGAAATGGTGGCTATTGTGTGCATTCATCAAACCAAATTAATGTCATACAGCAAACACAAAAAAGGGGGCAGCAGTCACGGCTGTTAAGATTTTAAAGTTCGGTCTTTTAAGTGTGGAAAGCACAAACACTTAATGAAGAAAACATTCCCCCCTTCAGGGCGATGAGTAAGTGCATGCATGGTGATACAGCACCTGCCTCATTTCTGTCTTTTGAACTAAATAGTGCCATAAAAATGAAAGCTTTGATGCTTGCTGTTTGTTAAAGTGGATCTCAGTCAGGATGAGGAGGGCACAGTCATATGACTCCACTCTCAGCCACGTAAATAAAACAGTGCTTCCGTCCTTAGAGGCTAGTGAGAAGCTCACAGAGCCATGTCGTGTTTAGCTTCCTCCCCTCCCCCTCCTCGTCTGCATTGCTGACGCATCTGCTGCCGGTGCATCAATCAGCAGCTTCTGTGTAGGTATAAGCAGAGTCTCCGCTGAAAGCGGGACTCTCTCTTAGCTTTGCATCCGGTTTGCATGTTCGATGCAACTGTGAGAAAAAGCATTGATGAACATCTGTCCGCTGACTAACAAAGCTACACAAATAGGACAGTGCCATCTTCTCTTAGCTTGTGCATTACCTAACCACAGTGACTGCGTAAGCACAGACGAAAACCTTTGGTGTAATGTATTGCTGCACTGGCAAAGACAGACATAGTGTAGCGTCATGCATTTAAGGTGCATGCTCTTTCTAAGTGGGCTGGAGATGATTTTATGTCATGCATTTTTGGTCAACATCGAGCTGCATCGAGATCCCGCTGGTGCGGTGCTGGGGAGATTTAATAGATCGTCTGCTGTACAGCAGAGGAACCCTTCACTCTATGCTGCTAATAGCAATGCAGCTCAGCGTTTTCTCTGGCGGTGCATTCGAGTACAGAGCTGGTGTGTGATGTAGCACCCTGCATCTCTCCGCTCTCCCTACAACCCTCTGCCATGCTTAATAAAAGTTGCCGCTTCCTGCTCAGTGGCTCCAGAACGAAAGCTTCAGTTGCCCAGCCAGCACAAAAGCAGACCAATAGTCCGATTTAGCTACACGCTGCTTAAACCGTGAGTTATTCCTATAGCTTGTAGCAGGACAGAAGAGGGACAGCCAGAGGAGGGCAGGGCAGATCTAGCCCAGGACTTGGGCTGCATGGATAGAGGCGAAGGACGTTGGAGCCGGAGTCATCTTCATACAGAGAGGGAGGGAGAGGAAGAAAGACGTCAGAAAAAGCTCTGCTTCTGACAACACCACTGTTCAGCGACCATCATAGAAAAAGAAAACTACTTTCGCCTTGGTCTCACGAAACTGTTTTTCATGTATAGTTTGGTATACACGGGGCTGTAGAAAAGGGATACTGCATGACACTGCTTCCTGTTCGCCCTGCATCACTTTCTCTGATTTACTAAGGTATGTTTTGCATGATTTTTTAACCGTTTTTCTTTCTCTTTTTTTGTTTGGGGTTTTTAATTTTTATTTGCGGAAGTTCGCTTCGCACAGATGAGTGAAGTGTCTTTTGCTTTGATATTTCGCTCTTTGATTGACAATGCTGTCTGTATGCTGTACTGTCATTTCTTGGTTTGTGGTTTAGTGTGTGGGGACTTTTTCATTACAGATGTAACAAAAATAATTTCACTTTGTCTTTGAAGGTAAACTAAAGTTGGGGTGTGGCAAATTCATAAGCCCTGATGAGAAATTCTAATTTCCGCTCAGCATGTGGTGGGAATAAATCCGAGAAAACTCATACAAAATGTGGAAAAAATGAATGCGGTGAAGTAGAATAACGATGCAGAGGAAAGGATGAAACGCTTCTGATGAAGCACAAAGTACGAAATTAAAACAAATGCGTGGCACATCACTTGCGCTAGGTGAGAAAGTCCATTTTTTTTTGCTGCAGACAAAGACACACAGACCAATACACAGACACAAAGTACATTCAAGCCGAGACAAAGGCAAACCTCGATTGCTCTGCAGATTGCTGCGCGGTGCAGGTTCTCAGAGAGGGCAGCTTGTTTGTGGGAGAGAGAGGGGACCGAATACTCGGACGGCTAATACAGTCACTTGCCATCCAGCTGAATCCCAATAAGAGCTGCGCCATAGCATGTTGCCATGACAACAGAGGCCTGTCTGAGAAAGACGGCAGCAGGGTGGCTGTGTTTCATCAGTCTGGGATGCTTTAAAGACTGGCGGCCATATTTGTTGCACGAGAATTCAAAAACAAAACAAAACGTAAACAAAAAATACCTTCGGTGATAAATCACCTGCAGTCCCGGGAGTAAAGAATACCGGTCGTTCACAACAGCAGGCTGCCAAATGGTGCGCACCACTGGCAGACATTAACAAAACGTGACACAATATCAGATATCAAACTGAACTGTGAATTTAAAACAGAGCTAACCGATAAAGATGGCTGGCGTGTAGATAAAAACATATTAAACTCCTAAAAAAAAGGATCTAATGCTAATTTGTACAATCATCACTGCGCGACTTTCAATGCAGCCACAAAGATGAAAATAGCATCAATGTAAAGTGGTGACCTCTGAGCTTGACTTGCAAAAGGCGTGATGATTCAGCACTTGCAAGTGTAAGCTGAGTGTGCTTTAGCAGATACAGTCAGCGCACTGTGTAACACATGCTAAATGCCTCAGTAACGACTCATCCCTGACTCTATATGAGTAGGCCACAGTTAACCCGTCATCCTCTTTCAAAGTCAGAATTAACTTCATCTAGGGTTTGCAGATTGCAGATCGCGTTAAGTCATTATCAGAATCAAATTAATCCATAAACGCTGGATTGGCAGCGTTCAAAAATACCAGTCTGTACAATCAAGGCCGCCATTAGCTCCAGTATGCGGAAACTGAAAGGCATTTCCTCAAGAGTAACTACTGCATTACTGTTATCAATGCATTATCAATTTTATATACTAACACATGCAATAAATAAGCTTTTCATAGCATTGTTTATGTTAGTTGCCCTTAAACGAGGTATTGATGAATAGTTGGGAATTAAAAGCAACCTTTGGTGCCTGCACAACAAACTGAAAAACAAAATGGGAGCATATGACTCATAACTCTATGGGTAACATTCATATATTAACTTTAAAACCAAAGCAAAACAAACCAAAAACAACAGGCAGTCATGATGACTGTACAACTGGTCTTTGTGTTGTGCACCGCTGTGGCATCACACTGACTGGATTACCATTCAATTTATTCATCATTAATTACAACTAAAAACAAAAAGGGCTGACTGTTTGAGAATGCCAGGTGCACCAGCTGTCAACCATTAGGTCATTATAGATTCAGGATTTTTTTTAACTGCAGCCATTCCGCCAAATTTTTAAGCCGGTCTCTTTGGTTTTAGCTCATATTTAAACGCAGCCTTTGAATAAAAATGCTCGCTCGCAGTACTTCTATGCGGTTGCGTGACACACTCCCACCAGAGCACTTTCTAGTACAAACTATAAGCCACAAAGCAGCTCCTCTGCAGCCTTTGCTGTAGTAGCTTACAGTTGTCACTTAAAGCTCAAATTTCCATTCCTTGAAGTAATTACTCACACCCTCCCTATTGCTGCACCGTCTAATGATTTACAGCCTGAAATAACAAAGTGCATTAACAGTTACGTGTGCCCGACATAAAAAGGGAGATTAACTTTTAAAAATGTGAGATTAAAGAGCTCTTCTACAGACGAGAAGCACATCTGGGATTAAGCAGAAGTGATTTCAGAGAGCAACACAGTCTTAAGACAATTCAGCCACAGTTTATAGGTCTGATATTTCAATGAGCCTACAGTTTGCATTAAAGTCATTGTGTAAGCCATTTTTGAATTGTTAGAAAATTACATTTTATGCAAAATGCAAGTGAAAATATAGTTTCTTGAGTCAGAAGTGTTCACCAGCTTGTTGACATTAGAGCTCATGTGCCAGGACATTACTGCCATCTAGTGTTAAATCACACAAAGAGCTTGATAGCTTCAAATAATACATGTACACACTTCACTCCTGAGTCTTCTTTTGGAATTCAGATTCTCTGTTTCGCAAAACTCTAATGTGATTATTTCTCGTCCTATGTTTAGATGACTGTGGTGTCTCCATGCCCTCACAACCTGATGGATAACGCTCACCCTCAAACTGTGCTTAGCAAGCTTAATGAACAGCGTTTACAGGGCCTCTTCTGTGATGTTACCATTGTGGTGGAGGATGTAAAGTTTCGGGCCCACAAGAACATACTGGCAGCCTGCAGTGGGTACTTCAGGAACGCTCTGACGACTTCTGAGCCATGGAACTCCAGCCAAGTGCTGGAGCTGATGGACCTTAAGTCTGAAGTGTTTGCCTGTATCCTCAACTTCATATACTGCTCGAAGGTGACATCATCTGATGCAGAGGACACCAAGGGTGTCGTAGCAGCTGGAAGAAGACTCGGAATTGCTTTTTTGGAGAAGCTCGCAGAACAAGAGAGACAGGATGAATGTGTTAAACCAGCAGATTCTTGCACTGCCCCGGTGTCTGAAAAAATAAAGAAAGCACCTCTTGGGCTTGAGGAGGTAGACAGCAGCAGAGGACCACGCATCACCAATGCCTTCTCAATCACTGAAGTGTGTCCTGGAAACAATCCTTTCACCCCTCTGGATCAAGCAAACAGAGAGAGGCAGTCACCCGACTTGGGTCAGCTCCCATCAAGTTGTTCTACAACATCCTGCTTCAGCGGGAACAATGAGACTACCCACGCCCTCTCCGAGCACTCATATGCAGTATGCAAATCCACTGAAGGCAAAGATAGCAGTCAGTGTGACAGCAAGAAGGTCTGTAAGCCAGCTGTACCACAGCCAAAGCAACTCATTTACAGGAATATAGGACCGCTTAAAAAGCGGCACAAGCTGAGAAGCATTTTGGGTAAAAGCATGCTTCCGACACCAGCCGAACCAGAAACCGACAAACCAAATACAGTGACCCCCACATTTACTGACGGTGCTACTGCAACACCTGCCACAGTTATGACCCCGCCTCCGCTTTTTTCTGAGGCAGAAAAAAGCATAGACACAGGGCCACCTATGGCCACAGACACAGCTCCAATGGAGCTGGGTCCGCCAACACTTTCCCCTCAGACAGAGGACAGTATATCAATCTATGGCTGTGAGCACTGTCCGGAGATATTCACAAATAAAGCTCTTCTCACCATTCACTCAGAGGTACATAAAAAGCGTTTTGTTAGTCATTTGTTTTGCAAGTTTTGCCACAGGAAGTTTATACACCTCAAACGTCTGCGCAACCATGAGCAGGTCTGTCCTAAGGCTTTGAGAGGCCCACCTAAACTAGATGCCAGGGATAGCTCAACCAAAGAGGTGGATCACCATTCCGATGACGGATCAGAAATGGAAACCAACATATCCCAGCCTCCTCCCACCGACCTACCAAGCCCTCACACCCCAGAGCCCCTTCAAGTGGACCAATCAGAGCCTCCACACGATGAGAAGCCAATGAAGATATATGGTGGTCAGAGGAGATATAGCTGTAGTGTGTGTAAACGGGTTTACGTCACCCTATCCAGTCTAAAGCGGCATGAGAATGTACATTCCTGGCAGAGGGCCTACCCCTGTCATTACTGTAACAAAGTATTTGCCCTGGCAGAGTATCGCACTAAGCATGAAATCTGGCACACAGGTGAACGCCGCTACCAGTGCATTTTCTGCCTGGAGACATTCATGACATACTATATCCTGAAGAACCATCAGAAGTCCTTTCATGGCATTGATCCCAGTCTGTCTGTTAAGAAAAAGTCTGCAAACGGTGGGCTAAAATCCAACATTTATCCTCTCAAACTCTACAGGCTTCTACCCATGAAGTTTAGAAAAAGACAATACAAGACGTACAGTCACACGTATTCAGAGAGAGCTGAAGGAGGTGATCAATCTGCAACAGACAGTAACTCTGTTATCCCTCAAATTGAAGAAAATGGTCTCAACAGCCACTCTGACACTGCTTCATTCCCTCTGACGTTCATGGCAACGACAAAGATGATTTCACCTGTCATGCCTCGCATCAGCTTTGACAAGCCATGTGACCAGGATGGCGACCAAAATCTAAACAGTGAGGTGGAAATTCGAGGGGCCACAAGAAAAGAGGCAGAAAACAGAGGTCCACCCTTCTTTAGCTATGACGGTTCCTTTTCTGTGCAACCCCATGCAGAATCTCCTGCAGGTTACAAAGATAATCCATCTCCGTTAATTAACTCAGAGCACATGAGTCATAATATGCCCTTCTTAAAGTCCTTGAACACTGTTAAAAAGCTAGGTGAGCTGTCAGCTTCTGCCAAAAGAGTCGAGGACATGACCAAGGAGATCCTTCAATCGCACACAGAGAATTTGTTGTGTGATAAAACATTGGGGGCAAAAACAGAAACATACATCGCTAAACCAGCATGCCCAGGTCCATCTTTTGACAGCGATGCCATGCCGCTGTGTCAGATAACAGTCAAAATTGGCAACGAAGCCATTATCCGACGCCAAATCAAAGGATCGAAACTATTTCCCAGGAAAAAAAGGAGAATTCGAGAACTGAGTGTGGAGCAGAGCCCAAGCCAGTGCCCTCTAACAAGGGAAGACTCAGAGAGTCCCAGGCTCCGCTTCAGACCAGAAGTTGCTGCCACCAGAGAGCCAGAGGCATGCGATGACCCGTCTGATTGCGAGGGAGCAGATAAGCTCTGGCGCCCCTACTATTCCTATAAAGCTAAAAAGAAAAGGAAGAAGCTCAGATATAAGCACAGAAAAGCCATGTTTCACCATTTTTCTGAAACATCAGTAGATAGAACTGCTGCTAGCGAGGCCCACCTGGAAAGAAGCAGTTGGCTGAGAGAAGAGAGCGTGTCGGTGAGCAGCACGAGGGTGAAGCACAGCGTTGGCAAGAACTGCAGCCCAAGGGCCACGTACAACTGTGAGATCTGTGACAGCTCTTTTATCACGGAGACCGGTCTGAGGGCTCATGTCATTGGCTCTCACCCCTGTTTCTGTCGAACCTGCGGTAAACAAGGCCCCCCCAGTGAGGCGCCCGCCGGCCGCGATTACATCTGCAGCAGCTGTATGGAAAATGGCTCCTGCTTCGATAACACACCCCAGAGCCCCAACCGAGAGAAAAGGTACCGCTGCTCCTTCTGTCCCCAGCGCTTTCTCTACCTCGCCACGAAGAGAAGCCACGAGAAAAAACACAAGGAAGCGAACGAGGAGGGCTACACTTTTGACGACTTCGCACCGTGTTCGAAATACTCTGCACACCAGAGCGAAGCCAACAGACAGGCAACCGTCAAAACAGAGGACAGTGACAATCACGGGGCGACGAACATAAAACATGAAAGAGTGGAAGGGGAACATTTTTCCGTTGATGAGAATCAGCCTAAAACTGAGGAGAAAACTGACTTAACGACTCTCCATCAAGATGTGTCATATTCCAGCATTAAAAGCCCGTTATCACCTTGCACTGACCCACTGTTTTCCCTTGCAGCCTCAAAGCTGAAACACAAAATACCAAAAAAGAGGTTAAACACACAGCATTCAAGTCACCTGGTTTCAAAAAGGCAAGCGTGCGACAGAGACAGTGACAGCAACACGGACGCTGTGACGGGACCAAGAACGAACAGTCACAGTGAACTCTTTAGAAGAAATGACTCTGATTCTAGAGGTGCCCACATTTCCATGCACAAGCCAGAGAAATGGGTGTGCAAAGAGGAGCCGTTTTTTTAAAGGTCCATGAGGACTGCAACCAGCTACAGGGAAGATTAAGGAGAAAAGAAAAAAAAAAGCAATTTGGTTAGGGAACATAGGATTTGCAATGTTGTATTTGCAACTTAGAGTGTTTGAAGGGACAGCAAACAGTAAACATGATGATCTAATTATCCATGTAATCTCTTCCCTCCTAAACCAGACTCAGTAAGCTTTTGTTCAAGTTTTCTTTTTGTTTCTTGCATAATATAGGACCTCTTGACACAGACTGTATTTTGTCCATTGTCTATGCATGTAAGGTAGACTCAGTGACATGACAGAAAGCTCATGGAAACAAAATAAATAAATACAACTACTGGTGATATTTCTTCAAAACGATGTGCAATATCAAAGCAGAGAGACAAAGTGTTGGAAAATATGTAAAATCCGTCTAGTCTTCACTTTTCTAAGCCTGGAGAAAACCATATGAATTTTCTGACTGTCACCTTTCTGAATCTCCCTGTCAGCTAGCTGGACATGGCGAGTTGCACTTTATAGGTAGACTATGCTAATTTGTTCATTTAATACTTTGGATAAGTCGATTTCAATTTGAAGCACCACTGATGTAATTTCAATTTTTGAATTAACTCATTGCACCACTGAGATTAAACTTAATACTTTTGTGTGTTTAATATGTATAAAACATGTAAAATTATTTAAATAAATACTGTTGGATATTCTAAACTGTTACATCCTGTCCTGCTTTGGCCAAAACTATAATAAAGGCTTCACCATTGTTTCATAGCATAATCTATGCCTAAATGCTAAAACTTGGTGAAACTAATTATAACTGAGGAGCTAGAAAAACATAGTGTTTAAGTGTGGTGGATGTTTTTAGGCAGAAGGATTTAAGCAGGCTTATTGGTGCAAAGCCTTCTTCCATCAAGCCACGAGATGGTTGTGCACTCCTCATGGGTCCTCGGGGACCTGCACACCATCTGAAAAGTTAATTCCCTGTTTTCTTCCACACAAACTGCATCTGTTTTTAAGAGTTTAGGCTCAAGACACAATTTCCAGATGTGTAAAAGAAATTCCTTTCTTCATTTTCAGGTATAAGGCACTGTTGAACACACCAATAGTAACATTGAGGCAGCCTGTCCTGCCGTAAACTTTAATGAGGGAAAAGCAGCAAATCGTGATGGCAGCGATGTGACTCCAGATCAGATTTTTCTTTTCATTTTTAAATATGTAAGTATTGCTGCATACGGCTTTGGAAATAGACCGGATTTTACTCATGCAGGGTCAAATTATAACATCATATTATATAAGAGCATAACTAAATATTGTGGAGTTATGTGTCCTGAATAGGGATTACAAACGTAAGTTAGAAGTATTTACATTTATAAATTAAGATGGAAGAAAGACAAAGTATGTGAGCTACCTTCAGCTGCTCCCTTGTTCACAAGGGGTCGCTACAGCTGGTAGCTCAGCATGTTTGATTTGGCAATTTGTTTTATTTTTTTCTTACACCGGATGCCCTTCCTGGCAGAACCCCACAGGGACTTGTGTCTCCCCTCGGGACAGAACCAGGGATCTGCCTAGCAAATGTGTAAACCACTATACTATGAAAGGAAAGAAAGAAAGATTATATCTAGGAATAGCTCCAGTGTTCAGGTGAAGAGGGCTCACTATATTGCCCAAAAGCTACACTGAGTACTGTGGTCATTAAAATAAATATGAGCTAAATCTAGTATATCTAAATATGATCATTAGTAATCTTATATATTTTCTGTTTGAGTATCATACATCACAAAGGCATTTTTTTATGTTATTTGGAGACAGAAAATTTACATACATGGCCACTCCTGAATTATTATATTAAAAAATACACAAAGTATTTTACTTTGAATCTTAATCTCCTGTGCAGCTGGGAAACTACTGCCACACCCCTCTGAGGTGAACTCCATGTGCAAAATTAACAAAGGAAAACACTTGGGTTCCGATGTTATAATAACTGTATATGTGTAGTGAGCATATGCAGCATGTGCTGTTTAGAAACCGCATACCTGACAGCTTTTCAGGCTCCATGCTACTACCATCTGACGATGACACCCAACCAAAAAAGCTACACCACCTTGAAAGGGGAAGAGAATAAAACGACAAAAAAAACAAACAGCTGTGAAATGCACACTGAACTGTGTATCTTACAGTATCTTGTAATCCACACAGAAGATAATAAAACCAGAGTGTATAATATTACATTTTTTTCATCTACCTGTTTTGCTGAAAATAAATAAATGCAAACCAGGTATGACACACCCACAAACTCGAATAAATATTTGCTCAGTAACACACTCATAAAGCAGCTGTGACGTTCGCGGACATTTTTATGTTTTGGTGCAATCATTTAGTGTGCAGCTTTCCTCTGGTTAATGCTTTCAAAATAAAGTGTTTTAGTCAGTGTGTGGCCCCGAGAAATGAGTTTTTATCCGGGGCAGAGGTAGCTAACTCATTCATACCCGGTGACACCTTTATCTGTCTGAAATCTAAAAGCGTGCATAAAGCGTACAGGGTTAACTTAAAGCGCTGGCGTCCGAGATTAGCCAAGCTAAGCTAAGCTAGTGCCACAAGTCAAACTATTATCGTGTTATCCGAAAGCGTTATGGTTGCATAATGAATGACACCAAACACTCACAGAGAGAGAGGGGGACCTTAAATTCCTTTTAAAACTCCTACTAATCACACTGCTGCGCCAGCCAAAGGAAGCTCGACTTTAGAGGAAGCTCCAAACATTTCAAGGCTGGAGCGTGTGCGGGACTTGACGTGACGCTATAGTGGGACTGGCTTTTTCTCCACTCTGCCTGCATTCATAAACGGATATGATAAACCAGCTCTGAATGCACCGGAGCAGCGACAAAAGTCAGCTCTGACCATGGCGGAAGACGACGACGCTAAGATACGGATTTTACAGAGCCTGCGGGGTAAAATATGTAAGTGAACCGACGTTTTGAGAGTCTCGCACAGTGTGAGGGGGGGAAGGAGGTCGAGAGCTGTGAGACGGAGACCGGGAGGGGTGCGGTGTGCTATCAACAGTCGACTGAGTGAAGGCAGAGACAGGCGAGCTGGTTCGTCTGCTGGCTGGTGCCTAACGTCAAGCTAGCCTAGCATGCTAGTAGAGGCTACTAGCTTGTTGTGAATGCATTCATTCATCGCGCAGAGCCTCGCCGCCACCATTTAATACCCCCGAGCCTATTTTGAAACTGTGACTCTTATTTTTATTCGTATTATTTTTTTTGGCAGCTTGAAGCCAAGTTAAATCAGCGTCGGGCTAGCTACTACCACCAGCCTCTTCAGTCAGTCGTCACCAAGCTAGGAGCCCATTCAGCTATTCTCACTGCGGGCATCTACCAGTCAGGCAACTCTAATGCTAAATATTAGACGGCAATAACGTTATTTCCAGCTACAGCACAGACTTTAAACGCACATCGGATTGAAAGGCAGCAAAGCAGTGGCTGCTCAACCCTTTAAAGTTTCACGTTAGTTGCTCATTTTTAGCCGGACACCAACCTTAACTTAACTGGGAACCACTAACTTATTTTTGCTAATAAATCCAGTATTGTTTATTGGCGTTAAAATAAAAAATAAACCGGTTTCTTGAAGCCATTTCTGCGGTTTGAAATGCATGTGGAGGCTATCGTCATAAAAAAGATTATCGTGTCATCAAGTGCCACTAAATTACTGATTGAAAAACAGATGCTTGTTCCTTAAAAAATAAATAAAAATAACATCGTAGTTACTTAAATGCCACAATCATCCCGTTTTTGTCAAACGTCCAAACTGGAAATCCCGACTTTAAAGTAAAATACCTCAGCAGAGCCTCGGTGTCCTCTCCTCGCGGGTCAGCTCCTGTGTGGGGGTATCTGCCTGATGGATTTATCGTTTTGTTTTCTACGGCTTCTCTCTACGAGCGTTTTAACCACCTTTTTTAATGTTTTAAACGTTACACGAGTAGATTCCTTCATTGCAAGTTTTTGGTTTTAGATAACAGGGTACTGCATATGGCGCAGTAGATTTGCTTATTTTCAGTGTTAATACCCATTCATTAGCCTTCATCCGCTTCCCCACCATCCTGTCTCCGTCTTCAGGTTTCGGTTTGTGTGTGGCACTGCTTCTATTAATCACATGAAATTTAACCGACTGGTTAAATGAATGCACTTGTATTTAATGAGAGCAATATTTATTACTGCTGTATTACTGAAATTATATCGTGTGTTCATTCTTTTTAATAGCCACTCGTGATACGTTTTCAGTTTCCAAATTGATAGTAGGCACTCATGAGTAATGGGTGAAATGGTGTGTATTTACTGTAAGACGAGTATAGGCCAGCTACCATGTAATGCTTGTATTGCTAGGAACACAATAGGAAGACAAATGTCAGTTTCACTACTATGAATTAATGAAAAAACAGTAAGCAGAACAAAATAGAGGAACTATCATGGCATGTAACTCACTTTGCAGTCTTGCGAAACTCCATTCTTCCTCGTTCACACTTTGTCCTTTTTCCTTTAGCCTACTTCAGTGGAGGTGGCATTGTGTGAAGATGTGTTTATTGTGACAAAAAAATTTCCAGTGTCCTTGTTTGATTCTCATATTAAAGGTCCTAGGGCTTACGCACCCTTTAGGTCGTGGTTTCTTTCCACAGGGAGACGCACTTCTGTTGTAGTGAAAATGCTATGAAAGGGCAAAGATGGATCAAGTGATGCCTTATGTGTTTGTCTTTTTTTTTCTTCTTTTGCATATGTGCTTCTGTGCCCTACTCCCACCACGACATCCTGGTCCAAGTTTAGTGACAGCTTGACCCTTTTCACTGGCCATCCCTAAGATTAGACACAAACCGCTATTAATAACTTGTTAAAAAGCTGATCTCACTGGCAGCTTTTCTTAATTAGGTCCCTACCTGGGCTTAGGGTACCGGTCAGCAGCTAGAGGGCTAATTTAGACCATCATGACCCCTCTAATCCAGTAAATGGCCTAAATATGTTACATTGTGAAGTTATTTATAGTGCTGTATTTTTGGTAACAATTAGCTGTACTGGAAATCAGCTTTACCCTATGTGGCGCAGCTTTTGTGAATTGTTTAGATATGTTGTACTAAAACTCCATGATATGTAATCTGAGCCTGCCTGCAATGATATGGAAGTAGTGTGTTACAAAGGTGTTTGTCATTTGTGAATCAGCGCTGTGCTGTCACCATTGGTTCTGCTGAGGAAGTCGATGTTTCATGTTTTTAACCACATTTGAGCATCAAGTCTACTTCAGCTACATCCGCTCTGCAGCCTACCCTGGCAACTGGCAGGAGTCTGTGTCCCCCGAATGAACAGGGGATGATGAACATCAAAGCAGAATTTTAAAAGTGTGCTGAAAACGACTGCAATCATAAATCTTCTATTAATTTAGGATTCCTGTGTGCTAAGTCGAGCAAATCAAATCACTTTAATGTAAACATAACGATTTTTTTGCTTGTTAGTAGAAGTAGCTGCAAAATTAAAAGCTTATTATTAATTATCAGATTGAAGATGTATTATTTAGAGGTCCAAACCTTAAGCTTAATTATATTAGCACATACATGGACTTATCACTAAAATTCTGATATACAATTGTAAACCAAAAGAGCTACAGAGGTGAAGAAATATTACTGATATTGCTACTTGTGTTGAAGACAGCTTTTTTTTTAAAATTTATTTATTTTTAAAAAAAATATTTTTGCTATAATGCTAGGATGCTAATGATGTTCTGTTTGCTGCAGGTGAAGCTAAAAACCTGGGTTCTGTCTCGGGTCCAAATCGACAAAGGGATCTCTGTACTTTTTGCACCATAAGTCTGGATCAAGAGGAGGTGTTCCGCACTAAGGTGTTTGACAAGAGCGTCTGGTAAGCAGGATAATCTTGTACTAATATGCTGATTACAGCTGCAAATCCCAATGCCTTTTTGTCTTCTCTGTTTCAGTTAGGGTTGCAGTTTGGCACCTGTTACTGTGCTATCATATTGTGATTAGGTTAAACATTACTTGTATTAGTTTCATAAATATTAGTTACACATGTAGGCTTCAGTTAAATGCAACTACTTAATCATTATGGCTGCGTGAATGCCGAGGTGGGAGACGGCTAAACATTAAGTTGACTAGATGCAGCTAAAGGAACTTAGGAGACTTTTTCTGATAGACTGTGCAGATTTTTTGTCTTTGCACTGATGTAGAGTACAGATTAGCTTTTTTTTTTTTCTAGTCCACGGTGTCATTAAATCATTATAGATATTTATTAAACCTTTATTAATATAAACGTAGAATTGAAAGAGATCACAGTAGCTGCATCACAGATTTTGTGGAAGGCCAATAAAAATATGTGAAATGGTAGATGTGAAAGGTGTGAAAAATCTATTCTTACTCACACACATTGATAGACTTGTCACCTATAAAAGAAAGTTATGTTTCCTGATCATTGCAACACTTCAAAATGTCAACTTTTTCTTGAGAAAACAATGCCTTTCTTTTACAAGTAATGCTGGCTATTCAAGAAATCCAAACATTATCTGTTTCGGGTTTAGTATTTTAGTTTTGGTGTTTCCGCCTCACTGTAAACATTTTAACGTAGAAAAAAAATCTTTCTTTGGTTCATTATGTGCAGTATAAAAATCCTTTCCATCAAATAAAAAAAGCTCTTCTCCAGCTGCTGTGTATCATTAGATATTGAATACGTCCTGGTTGACTTTTCATCTTTTTCAGTCTGGTAAATGTCTTTGTTTTAAGTCAGTGTTTTACACCAGGATATTTGTCCTTAAAATGATTATTAAGATAATATTTAGACTTATGTTTTGGAGCCAATTTGAATTATTCAGCTATGCTGTCTTGAATTTATTGGTGAGTAAGAGCCACGTGTACAAATACTAGGCATTTATTTGTGGGGTAAAAGTTTAGACTGCTTACTTTGCATGTCTAGAGTCATTAAGAACATTACATTTGGCTGCTGTTACTTGTGTTTTCATATTTTAAGTTTTTCTTTTTTTTGTTTGTTTTAAAAAATAATTTCATAAAATAAAAAATCTCCTTTTGATCAGATTTTATATGGACAGAGTCATACTGTCTTTCATGGATGAAATGCAGTCTTTCGAATACTTAGAAGCTGTTGAAACATGACTCAGAGCTGTGTGTGTGTGTTCGGTTCCCTTTGAGCTGGGAAATGTTGTGTGATTCTGAGTGAAATGAGACATTATGCCATAGTTACATGTTCACAGCCAGTTCAGAGAAAGGTGTGGATATTATGAAACCTTTAAGGGTTTTTTTTCTATATTGCTGCACATTTAACTTTAAACATAGTCCTGCCCTCTTTAGGCATTTCATAACTGTTCTTTTTTCTTTTTTTTCCTCTTTGTCCTGGTTTTTTTTAGTGCAGTTCAACAACAGTTTTAGAGGCTTTTTCCTCTGTCACTCTCAGCTGCACAAGTCCACTATTTATCGCATCTTAATCTATATGGGTATGCGCTCTGTTTGACTCATGCCTGGTGTGTATGTGCTCCAGCCTTCGGGTTTTAATAACTATGATTGCTCCCTTTTGTGGTCAATTGGCTTTCTCACTTTACTTGGAAACTAGGATGACAGCAGAGACAAGTGGGTGTATGGGTGGGTTACGGTAAATAGTTCTCTGATGTTAAAGAAGATATGTGGGTGTAAATTGGATTGGCTGGCCAAGCCCAAGGTGGAAGTGTTGAGAAAGATTACATCATTCAAGATGCATTAATGGACTGTGTGGCATTTGCATGTTCTCCCTGTGTGTGCCTGGCTTTTCTTGGTACTCCGGCTTCCTCCCACAGTCCAATTTTGAAAGTGGCTAAAGTGACTGAGAATGTAAGCCCATGCTAGCCCTATGAAAGACTGGCAACGTGTCCATTGTGTATCCTGCGTCTAAGTCCTATGACAGCTGGTATGGGTAGGTGAAAAGATTCCTACTTTATAGAGGCGGACAGATTAAAGAGCTACACATTAATAAATATTGATACATATGTGATTGTTTACAAGTCTTATTTTCAGTTTCTTTTTTTAATGAGGAAATATCATTGTAAATTTAATTTATTAAGTCATAAATACACCAACAAGCTCTACACACACTTTCGAGAGCTACTTATTTACAATGTGTTTATAATTGGCCTATCTATACCTAAAGCAAGTGTATATCTACTGAATACACTAAATACACTTTGACCTGCTCCCCTCAGGCAGGAGGCTCCGGTCCATTCGCACCAGAACCTCTCGCCATAAGAACAGTTTCTTCCCCTCTGCTGTTGAACACATGAACAATAACCGTATGACTGTTCCCACCACTAACACATGACCCTACGCTGTGTTCACTGCATCATTCCATGTTTGGCACTGATCACCACCTGCACCCATGTATATATCTATCTACTTAGCACTTTTAATTCTTATTCTCATTTTTATTTTCATGTCTATTTAAGCTTAATTTATAACAGTATTTATAACAGTATGTTTGCACTGAAGCACCGCAGCAATTTCCTAATGTTGTAAACCCGCTCAACATTTGGCAATAAAACCCTTTCTGATTCTGATTCTGAAATGCCGGCTGTCAATTAGTGCGCTATTACGTTTTTTTTGTTTTTTTTTCTCAAGCATTGTCGGCTTCAATCTCAGTAAATCTAAAAGAGAAGGACTGCATTTTTTTACTTGAACATGTGGACAGTTTATCTAGCCAAGTACTGTTCAGTCTGTTTAGGGACAGGTGGGCAGGCAGCACATATTAAGGTAGCGTTTAACCTACAGTCTGCTAGCTGTTTGGCTCAAAGTCTTGGTCACGAGGCAGCTGAGTGGCAGAGATATTCTGACCTTCTCTCCATCCCCCAGTTTCTAAGGGGCAGTCAATCCTGTGGTGAATAAGGCATTTGACTGTAAGAGTGAATATGTTGTCTGTGTGATATCCCAGCAGTGTGCTACAAAGCTCTACAGGGTGTACTTGGCATTTTGTAATGGGATGACTATTGCAGAACACAGTATTGTGCAGAGGTCCGGAGCCACCCTTCATTTCTTTATATTTTGCTAGGAAAATAGGAAATGGGTGCAGCGTTTTACTGAAATGTGCAAACATGCATTGAAATACAATAAGGCAAAAAAATTGTTTGACTTTCAAGCTTGTTAGAATTGTACAATCTTTGGTATGACCACCTTTATTTTTCAACTCTCTTAGGCAGCTTTCTTATAATTTAAGTAGTCTTCAGGAATAGTTTTCCAGGCTTCCTGAAGGACATTCAAAGCTCTTCTTTGGATATTGGCTGACTTGCTCTGTTCTGTCAAGATGATCCCACTTTGCTCTTTGGAGACAATCCATGACTGATATTGTCCCACTGTGTGTTTTTTCTGTCCAGGTATGCTATTACTGCATTGCCAGGGCGTTTGGGATCATTGTCACGATGAAAAATAAAACTGGTGCCAATGAGATGCTTTCTATATGATATTGAATGGTGGTTTACATTTGATGGAACTTTTCTAAGTTAATAATTCCATCAATTTTGACATGGTCCCTTCCTAATTCTTAAAGACATGGATTTCAGATACTGGTCGTCTGTTCTAGATGTTGTTTTTTTGTTTTTGTTTTGTTTAAGGCGTGCCACTTCTTCTTTTGTCTTCCACTTGTTGAAATTCCTCAAATTTTTTTCAACATCATAACAAGATGTGCTAAATTTTCAGCTAATAGCTCTGTGGGAATCACCTTTTTGATTCAAAAATACTTTTTAAGTTAAACTGTGTTGTCTTTTGGTATTTTTCTGTAGACGCAACTAAAGAAATGAGAACAAATTATTTGTTTTGTAACGGACTGCCAGTAACAGAGTGCCTAAAGATACAATTTAAAACTGGTTTGTTCAAGTTGTCTGTTATGTGTAGACACAACACTGGTTCATTCCTTGAGTTAGGTGCCTTTTTATATAAGTCGTGAGTAGGTTATGATTCATAGGTCAGTGTTAAGTAGGTTTATAAACATAAAAACATTCCTCTGAAAGTCATCAGGAAGGAGGACTAGACTGAAAATTTGTGAAAAAGCAGCTAATGTCCAAAGAAAAGCTCTGAAACATCGTCAGAGAACCTGGAAAATTAATTCTCAAGACCATTAAAAAAAATAAAAATATTTGAGAAAGTCTGGCAGCTTGGAAACAGAAATTTAAAAGAAATGAGGGCTGGCTCAAGACTTTTGCACAGTACTGCATTTTTCTGGTTGCAGCATTGGGCATACATGCAGAATTGTATCTAAATGTAACATTGTAACAATGTAACATGACAATGTAACACATTGTTCTGTGATCTCAGCTATTCACATTTTTGCATTTTAGCTCTTTGCATTTTACTCTTATAGCTTACTTGTCACAGTTTTTGCATTTAATTTTTAAAATGTAATTTATGGAAGACACAGGAATATAATGCAAGAGGTAAAAAATACATAGATTTTGATTTTTCTTAATAAAGTTACACTGTATGTTCAGGAAATCAGAAGAAAACTGGTAAAAGTGACAGATTTAAACCTACAAGATATCAAGAACATTCCCCTCAGTCACGATGAGTCATAAGGGCACCCTGTGTCGTCCACCTTCTGCTCAACCAGTTCATTTCCCAGTATTTTAACAAATTCTGGCGGTGTTTATGACAGTCATGTGATATTATTATTACGCTTATGTCCTGTTACAATGTTACATGTACTCAATAATTGCCCATTATTAAAATTACTACTTAACATGGAAAAATAACCCCAACCATGTTTCCACGGCACACACATGCACACTTGCTAGATAAAGAGATTTATTCTGTAGAGGAATAAACTTAATAATCACCACATCTACATTGTTGGTGAGTAAAATACAATATTAATAACTAGGAATTTGCCGTTTTTATTTTATTTTTCACTCCATGATCATATGAAGTATGAATCAAATACAGTATAAAAATCAATAAAGCTGCAATTTTTAGACTGTACGTGACAAATGGATGCAAGTAAAAACTGTTTTTTACATTATTAACCAACCTATTGGTGCCCATTTAATAAAAGCTCAGCATAAAAGTCTCTACTGCTTTTTTTTCTTCTTCTGTCATTCATGGTGACAGTATTAATTTTTTTTCTTTATCTCATCCTCTGTTCTATTTTAGCGTCCCCCTCCCCACAACCACCGAGCAGATGAGCGATATATAAAATGATGCTGATGCAATGATAATGTGCAATAAAAGCTTTAAAACCAACTTAACAAACAGGAAATGGAAGAAAGGGAAAGTCGTCAACTGTAGTTGACTGCTGTTTGTCAATAAATCATAAGTAAAACATAAGCTACTACAGCAGTTAGCAGATTTGAAATTGTTCCAAAGTGCTGACTCGTTATTTTTATGTCCATTCATGCCGCTAACTCTTTGTCGATCAAAGTATACCCTCTGGGTTTACTAATGCATTGCCACTGATGTGTGACGTAGTAAACATTAACAATACCCAGAAGTCAATAGATTAGCCTGTTGTCACATTTACCAGTGCAGCTGTGCAAGTCAGCTTTGGTCCTATAGCAACTATCAGGTTTTGAATGTTTGGTCTTGTTTTAATGTGGAACATTTCTGCGTTCACAGTGATATCAAAGTTGTCTTTAGTTATTTTGAGTTGACACCCATAATGGCAAGAATTGCATAAGTGAGAGATTTTTAGACTGAAAAGTGAAACACAAACAGTTTCAGCCATAGAAAAAAGAAAATGCATCCCCTTTAAATTCTTAGATTTTGCATATCAGGGCATAATAAAAAATAATCTGGTGCTTGGCAGGTCTTCAAATTGGGTAAATGCAACCTAAAGTCAACTAGAAAACATGACCTGTTACACAAACGGATACCTAACAAAACCTAAGCTAAAATGCAGAAACGGTGTGAGTGGGAAAAACACTAAGTACACTCTATGATTCAGTAGCTTCTAGAACCACTTTTAGCAGTACGTTGAAGTCATCATTTTCTGTATGACTTTATCTGTCTTACAGAAAACGATTGCACCCTCTCTTTACGCTGTTGCTTCAGTTCATTGAGGTTTGTGGGCATTCGTTTATGCACAGCTCTGTTTCATCCGGGTTGAGGTCTGGACTCTGCCTGGGCCATTGCAAAACCTCGATTCTTTTCTTTTTCAGCATTTCTACTGCGCATCTGCTGCTGTGCTTGGATCATTGTCCTGTTGCACAACCCAGTTTCACGACATTATTTCATCTGGGATTAATCAAGAAGTTTGAATCAGAATCAACCAAGCTCTCGCTGTCTGATGGTCTCACATTTGACTCTGGAATACTTTAGTATACAGAGGAGTTCATGGTTGACCCAGTGACCTGTAGCTGTAAAACAAGCTGCAATCATTAGCCCTCCTCCACCATGCTTGACAGTTGCTGTGAGGTGTTAACGCTGATATGCTGTGTTTTCACCATGCGTGCCAATGTAGTTTTGCAAACCTTGCCACCATCTTCTCGTCTTTCCAATGAAAATCTTTCCAAATAAGCTATACTTGTTCATTCTTTTTCCAAATTGTACTGTCACAAACTGTAGCATTTGTCCTGTTGCCTAAGAACTGTAGAGTCTGACATGTAGCTCTTTGGTTTTTTGCAGTCTGTGAGCATCGCACAGTCTGTTCTTAAGGCGAATTTGCCCAAATGTCCACTCCTAGGAAGACTGGCAACTGCCTTTTATGGTTTCCACAGTGAGAAATGATCTTTTAAATGGCAGAATGATGGTCTTGTAACCCTTCCCAGATTGTGGAAGAGAAGTAACAGTTGCTTTGAGACAGTTGCTGATGTCTCTCATTCTTGGCATTGTGTATACACACACCTGAATGTTCAAGTACGTCTGCTTACATAGAGGTGCTCACACTTGCTGATGATCATTTAATCAAGTGCATTTGATTAACTGATCATCAGGCTGCTACTTGCATAGAAACAGTACTTAATTTTATTTATTTGTTACAAAATACTTCTGCGTTTTGTAATTCCTGTCAAATAAATATTGAAATGGTGCATTGCAGGTCAGTTTACCTCACAGTAGAACCTTTGACCACTGACTATACTCATTCTCGCTTGTTCCCTTTTCTACCAAAAGAGATAACCTTGTTAGCTAATTTAGACCTCTCCCTTTTACAGCCCTTTCTACGGAGAGGACTTCTACTTTGAGATCCCACGCCCATTTCAGTGTTTATCCTTCTATGTTTATGCCAAGAGTGTTTTCCAAAGGGACCTACCTGTTGGTGAGTAACATTTAAGAGGACAAGCAAGTATATTTTCTCATCTCGATGAATGTGTTGATTTTTAACGTGTGTGTGTGGGTTTGTGTTGCTTTCTCTTTTAGGCAAGGTGTCCATCCGGAAGGATGACCTATGTAAATACAGTGGGAAGGAGAACTGGTTTAGCCTTCAAACAGTAGATCCTAATTCAGAAGTCCAGGTAATTTCTAGGAAAGCTGATGACTCACAAATGTAAAAATTTGACCCTGCTGTATTTGACCCTTGCCCCTTTTACTGCAAGGTTACTCGTACTGCATAAAGTTCCACTCGCTTGGTCATCAGCACAGCACAGTTAATGATGATAGTCTTTTACAGCTCACAGTACCCCAACATAGCGAGCAGGAAATCTGCTCGCACGTAGTCAGAAATTTGCATGCAGATAAGATCATTTCCATGTCAAAATAAGGCTTAATAACCTTACAAACTCAACTCTTCTCACTAACATCCGGACTGTCACCATCCAAAGAACACACTGTCCGAGTCTTTTTGCATGGAAATAGAAAAGCAATACGCAAGTGTCCAGTTTATTAGTGGCAGACTCTTAATGTCATCGCACGATGGCAGCTGAAAAAAGGCAATGTTTGTGGCACAGAAGTAAAGACATTTGTCTAACTGCACATTTAACCTGTTTAATAGACAGCAAGAAGCTTTTTAACCAACACCACCAGAAAAATATAATTGCTTCCATAACTGATACTATTTCCCCCCCACTTGTTTTGTTCTAGCCATCTTCATGATTTAGACTAAAAGTCTTAAAATTTGTATTTGAAATGTAAGCACACTTTGAAAAGAGTAATTTCAAGTCTTCTCCTGCACATTTATATGATGTATAATTAAGAATGCATGCACACGAGGAGAAAGCTGTTGCTAAAAATGATCCTGGGCTAAAATACTTGATCGACTTATCAGGTGTTTTCGGTCCATCGTCTTACATTTTTTGTTTTCCAGCATTTTATTTTTATCATTTTTTTTTTTCATGAGTGCAGTTCTAGTTTCTGTCACATATAGGGCATATATGTGGGCTGCTCTGTTTCAACTGTACATCACTATCTTTGATCAGATAGTTTTTGTGGCGTGCTTGTATTGGGTGAAACTATAGCACACTACCACTTCTGTGCTGCTGCAGCTAACATGTTGACTCTAGCTGCCATTAGCCCACGCCAAGACTATTCTGGGTATGTGCCGCTACACTGATTCACTCACAAGTAGACACTTTCAACAGCAAAGTTACATCAGTGAGCGATGGAGGTGTTGTTTCAGTACCTCTCTGGTTTGATTTGCAGCCAAACAGGGGGGCTGTGTGAACACCCTGCGAGCAGTATTAATTTTAGGTAACCTGCTCAGTTAATAGGGGTCACGGCTGGAACGTGAGCGTTAATTTGGTGAGGATGCTGGTTCATTTGGACGTATATTGGCTTAAAGGCCGGTGCTGCATGAGAAAGGAGTACTTGCCATCTCAGCCAAGTGCTGAATTGCAGAGACGGAGTGCAAGTGTGGGGGCGTTTTGTTTAGCTCACCCTCTGTTGCTCACTCTCTCACTCTGTATCTCTCTCTCTCGTTCTCTCTGACACTTCCGAAGGCAAGACCGGCAGCCTTCACCACATCCGACTCCCCTAAAGATCTTTATGAGTGATTTTGAACATTTTTTTTTTCCTTTACATTTTTAAAATTCACAGCTGTTGTGGCTCTTGTCACTCTCCTGGTTCTCCCATTAACCTAAATCAAGATGGAGTATGAGGTGGAGCAGGACTGCAGGTCTTGGAGAATAAGCAGAACCCATTTTGAAATATGACAGCGAGAGAAATGTGCAACTTAGTAACAAATAAACATGGTGTGCAAAAGTATCGCATATCATCAGTACTGCAAGCCAGATTTTTATCTTGTTTACGGCCTACATAACTTTTGACTTGTGCCTTCACTAAAGACTGTAGACTCATGGCCTTAGTAATGTGTAACTTCTTAGAACGTCTCCTCTCCTCATGGTCAACAGGGCAAGGTTCACCTGGAGATGCGATTGAGTGAAGTGATCACAGAGAACGGATCAACAGGCCAACACATATCAGTCCGGTGAGTTCTACGAGTCACTTGTTTCCTGTCAAGTGTGCTGTGAGTACAGTTAGTTTGAAACTTTGCAGGGAAATCATGACAGAACTCCAAAGCTTGAGTCAAGTGAGTATTTTCACTGGCTAAAGATCAAACCTTCACATTAAGCCCAGCAAAACAAGTCTCCAACATAAAAGGTGTTAGGTAAAAGTTTGAGTAATAGCGCATAGCATACAATCCTAAACTGACTGTCCACACTTCTCATTCTGAGCAACAACTTGTTTGAGAAAGAAATATGTTTAAAGTTGTTTAAAAAAGGGGGGGAAAAAAAAAAAAAGAAGTCATCATCATTGATAAAAGTTTCAGTATTGCTTGCTAATCTTGGGTCTCGGTAGCTTATTTTTTGTGTGGTTTTCAGTGTGTCACAATATTCCTTTATCATTCACCTTTACTTCCGAGCTGTACATTTCACATCACACAGTTTTCACAAGCACAAACCGATATAAGGGCAGATAATGACGTGGGAGGATGTTGAGAGAGAGAGAGAGAGAGAGGGGGGGGGGGGGGGAAAGAAAGCGCCCATTGACAGATTAGGCTGAGCATGTAAATTTACACACACGTATGTGCATGTGTATGTCAGACCTCTTGCTGTTTACGTATGTTGTTTTGCACCCCCACCATTCATGCTTGGAGAGCAGGGTAATGAGAAGGAAGTGATGGCATCTGAGCAGGAAGCGTGCGCTTCTCACTCTGCAACCGCTGTGGTTTTCTGCTGCTGTCATTCAGTGTTTGAATCGGATTGTTTGCTTAAACCGTCGGCCTGCTCACTGTCACCTGTGCGTAATTGCTCTTGTTTTTCTCCATCGGGTCGACCAGACAAGTCCACGAAGGGCGTGAGGCTCATCGTCCCGTTGCAGGAAGCTAATCGGAGCAAAGTTGCATCGCGTCGAGTTAAAAATGATGTAAGAGTGAGGCTTTAGGGAATATTGTTATGACAACCTTGAAGATGATACCCAAACATCTTTACATTCAGCTGCTTGGCTTCTCCCTCCGGCCCCGCTTAGCATAGCAGGCTGAATTCATTCTTATTCTCTGCTGACTTGTGCTTAGCAGCCACATCCTGTTTAGACTGCTCACAGTGCCTGTTGTCACCTGAAACACCTGTTTTTGTTTTGTTTTAAAAAGATCCTTGTGTGACGCCAGTCAAACGTGAGGTCAGAGTTTCTAATGATATACTGTAATCTAGTTTAATAATCCAGTGCTACATTTAAATATAGTTCACGCTTCATGTTGTTTTTGTTTTTTCCAATACAATACTATATAAACTTTGTTTGTAGTATATGCTTGTCAGTTGAGCCTGATTCCTCTTTTGGTGCAGAGTCATTGACATCTAACATAACTAAGCAGGTTTGTGAACAATAAATAGGGTGATGCAGTGCCATTTTTAATGATTATGTCTTTAAGCTTAATGTGCAAAAGCATTTACGGTTTCTGTTTTGAAGACGGGGTGTTTTTCTTATTGTTCCGGTAGTGCAAACCATACAAGGTTTAACACTAAAAGCATTTCCACTGAGGCGTCTGTTGAACCAACAAGAAATTATTTACCATTCACGCACCCGCGGCACGGCATTAAAAGCTAATCTCTCCCAAGGTCTGGGTCACTTTAGGGCCTGTCAAAGTGTTACTGTGTGAAATATTGACGGTTTTGGTCCAAGGTGAGCAGCTCCTCAGTGTTTAGAAAGGTGGAATCATAAGATGTAACAAGAATGCTATAACGGTGTAATATAGTTGCCTTTATTTTATGTTCTTTCTCTTTTCTTGTGTTTTTATTCAGGATAATTGAGTGCAAGGAACTGCCTTTGATCAGTGGGCAGAACTGTGACCCCTATGCTACCGTGTCACTTGTCGGACCTGCCAGGTAAGTCTGAATTTCGCGCAGATAACAAAATAAGTTCTTAGTGTGTTACAGAATATAGAAGTAGCTTGTTTGTTCCTTTTTTTTAGCTTTGTGTAATCACATAAGTAATGACCAATTTCCTGAAATAAACAGTGCACAGGTTTTCCACACTGCCTTTAAAACTACTGAGGAATATGTGCAGAAATATTGTGCAGTGTGACTTGAAGCGTAAGGTCCCTACATATATTCTCATCTTTAGGAGCACGCCCGGTCTAAACCAAGGTTGTTATGGTTAAAGCTAATTGTGGAAAAAGTTTGAAGTAGTTTTCTTTTTTTAACTAACTGTAAGAACATCGTGAACTTGCACAGCTGACTTAAAATAAAGTACAAACAGACAACAAATGTCGTTAGTTTTAGTCTTTCTCAGCCTGCCTGAAGAGGCTTTGTCACACATATTTGAGATGTGGGAGTTATTATGGGTTTGTTTGGTTTTTTTAGTTTCAGTTCATTTCCAGAGTGGATTTCTTTTCAGTTTAGTTTTTATTGTTTGAAAGTTTTTATTGGTTTCACTGTATTAGTCAGTTTTTTGTTTGTTTTTAAACTATCATTGTATGGAGGAAATATGTAGGAAGATTTAGGAAAATCGGTGCAGGTATTAGAACAAAAAAAAAATCCATCAAAGCCTCCTTGAGAAATTGTAATTTTTTAAAAAATTTTTTTTGAGCCAAACTAAAAAAATACTAAGACTAAGGATCTTTCCTCTAAATATTTTGTTATTGAAAGTTTACAAAATTGTTTCATTTAATTTTAGGTAATTCTAACAACCTTCTGTGGGGCATTTTCAGCTTTTACAAGTTGTTGTGCTTGCATTGTAATATCTGTTTGGACTTTCTTAAATCTTGCTCCCAGCAAGTACCCTCCATATTATTTTTGGAGGCGTTTTTAGCTAGATGCTTTCAAGGCTGTTATTAGGCATCTATAATTCGACTTTTGTGAATATAAAGTTGTTTTATTGAGTTGTTTTTGTCATGAATTAAAGTAACAGGGTTCATGTTATAGATGCTAAAAGCAGGTCTTTTTAGTTGCTAGGCATGATGACAGGATTTCTGATATAGTTGGGAACCTCGAGCAGCGTGAGCTGTACCTGCGTGCCAGGTTTAGTTGCTCAACACCTGATCGTGCAGGAGGAGCTCGCAGACAAAGAGCAAACACGCAGACAGAGATTTTGTGCTATTGTAAGATTAGAAAGACTGAAACTAATTAAAACTATCTGAAACAATCCACACCTCTTGAAACAAATACAATATCAAAATCAAAGACTCAGAACTAGCCTCTGGTTTAAACAAATTTTTATTTTATTTTTTTAATGAATGTCATGAGTGAGCTGACTAAACTTTCCAAGAATACAAAGACTATGAGCTCAACTATGAGCATCCACTTACAGCTTGCCACCATCGTGAACCTTGTTACAGATGGCAAGATTACATTTTAGTCATCTTAAGTCACTCCCTGACAGTGCGATAGGAGTCACATGCTTCTCTTCCCCTTTTCTTCTCAACGTATCCATAGCTGAATCCTTAAATTATCAGAGAAAATGGCATTCAGTTTCTGTAATGTCTCCCCTAAGGTCTGATCAGAAGAAAACAAAGGTAAAGAAGAAAACCAGCAACCCTCATTTTGAAGAGACCTTCTTCTTTGAGGTAAATCTTGTAACACATGTTACCACATCATAGGTTTCAAATGGTCTGTTGGTTACAGCAGATAATTGTATATATTAACCATGACATGTTCATCTGCAGGTCACACGGTCCTACTCCAGGAGGACTCAATTCAACGTGGAGGAGGAGGACATCGAAAAACTTGAGATCAAGTGCGTTTTGAAGGTTTTTTTCCCCCCTTTTGTGTGCGCTTAACGCTCTCTCTCGCTGTCTAACAGACCCACACACATACATGTACACGCTTCCCCTTTATAGTCTTGACAAAAGAAGAAGAATTTCTTAACGACTTCAGGTTTAAAAAAAACAAAAAAAAACAAACCCAAACAAAAAAACTTTTTATTTGGTGTATTCTGACTACTGATGGAGAGCCTTTGATTTCTGGTTAAGGATATGTGGGGCTTCCATCACAGTGGATTCATAGCTCACTGGGTAAGACTAGTCAGAGCTGAAGGTAAACACTCGTGCATGGTGTTGAGGTTTGGATTTGAGGTGGTGTCATTGCACACATTGTATTGGTTTTTATGCACCAAGCAGGTAAGCACTGCTTAGTAGCGATTTTTCTTTTAAGCCCTTTCTGCCATATTTGAAGTGGGTGGTTGTTTTGTGCTGAACACACAGACAGAAAGAGCAACATTTATTTTGCCTTGCTACTTGTACATGTAGTTTGTAGTAACAGTTGTATATTTGCAGATGAAAAACATTCTTTCAGTCCACATCCTTTCCCCTTTTTTGCAGAGTTGATTTGTGGAACAATGAGAATCTGGCTCAGGATGTTTTTCTGGGGGAAACACGGGTTCCTGTCAAGATCCTACAAAGCGACCACATTCACAAAGCCTGGTAAGGAGCAGACGGAAGTATCTCGCTATCTTTAAACGTATTTATGCATACTTATTGAGCACTAGGCTGACAAATTTAGATTTTCTGTCCCCTTGTTTTGAAAATGGGTTTAAAGTGGAATCCTCCCCCCTTCAGGCACATGCCTGTAATAAAGACAGAGCATTTTCTTCCCATTTTAAATGGCAATACTGAGATAAAACTGAAATGTTCATGAGCTTTGGTTTACACCCCTATTACCTCCTGTTTACATAACTCCTAAAAGATTTTCCAAAATAGATTCAGAAGGGTCAGTTTTACCTATATGTGCTCGACTAAATCCAGCACAGTCTGATGCGTCTGTGCCTTTAAAAATTTACTACAGGGGGGAAAAAAACAAAAAACATGATCATTAATCTGTCATGGCCTGATTACCTTCCTCTTTACCAAACAGGGTTTTTTTTTATTTATTTTTTATTTAAACACTGGAAGGTGGAGCCGCTGCCTTTGGTATTTCACTGTTCAGGAACCCAGTCTTGCATGTCTGTTTGCACTGTTGCATTTTCTTGCTTTTACAAGGTGATCTTAAAACTCTTCCTAGATTTCTCAGAGTTCAGCAGTTTTTCCACTGTGTGGGTGTTTTCCTTGCTTTGCGTCAGAGTAGGAGATGTGGGATTACGCCAGATAGCAGTTTGTTAGTAGATGAGGGCTTTGAGTCGAGTGCGTGGGTGGCTTATGCATGGTGGCAGTACCTCATGTCCTGTGTTTATGCTGGAAGTCGTCCATGTTGCATTCATAAAAAGTGTTGGGTACAGGTGATCTGTTAAAGTGTCTCTGTCTGTGTGCAGTGATTACAGATCAAGGGGATTACGGGCAAACCTGCAGTGACTGCAGGCCAACTCGACATGTATAATGTTGTTTTACCCCACCTGTTGGCTTATGGAGAGATGTGCAGGCACTATGGGAGGAAGATTTATTGATCACTAGGCTGACTAATATGTTCTGAATCAAGGGTGGGGGAACTCCAAGCCTTAAGGGCCGTGTCCTGCAGGTTTTAGATCTCGCCCTGGGTCAACACACCTGAATCAAATGAATGAACCTGAATTAGTTCATTACCAGGCCTCTGGAGAACTTCAAGACATGTTGAGGAAGTAATTTAAAACCTGTTTTGGATCAAGGACTCCTCTGAAACCTGCAGGACACCAGCCTTTGAGGCCTGGAGTTCCCCCACCCCTCGTCTAAATGGATATTATAAAAAGACTTTTCCTCCCATGTCCAGATTTTTGGTCATTTTGATCTTTTCTTTCTTAATTTAAATGTCAAAAAAAACGCCGATTAGCGGTTGAACAGCCTCACAAATTTAGATTTTCTTTCCCCTTGTTTTGAAAAAGGGGTTCAAAGTTAAATCATCCCTCGTTTAGGCATATACCTGTAATAAAGACAGAAGCATTTTCTGAACATTTTAAATGCTTATGTCGAGATAAAGCTGAAATATTTGTGTGCTTTGGTTTACACCCCTATATGCTGTTAAACAAGCCTAATGATTGAATTCCTCTTATTTTAAGTGAAAGCTGTTAGAGCAGCAGGAAAGAATTGGCAGCGTAGCAAAGACGGCTGTTTAGTTGATATACTGTGATAAACAGGTGGGTATATCTGTACTGAGCAGCATTTAGAAAACTTTTTTTGGTTTTTCTCAGTTGTTGCTGTAAAATATCCTCTAGTTTATCGTCTTGCTTTGCAATCTATTTATCATGGTTTTATGATTTTCAAGATTTTATGCTCATTGCTTAAAACCTTTGTAAAGTGGACTTAAATCCTTTGTGATGCTGCATATTTACTGCACTATTCCTGATACTTACTCTATTTCATGTTTATAGTATACATATTTTCTAAAGATGCATCCATTGAACTTTTTTGGCTTATTTCAAATTTCCCTTTTTCCGATACCAGCATTTTCCACTTTCGATATTCTTTCTAAAACCAGCACATACAAGCTAATCAGCTTTTATTCACTGATTTGTTTTTTTCTTAAATAGTAAAAGAAACTATAAAACCTTTACAGTTTCTGCAGTAAGTTACAGGATCTTCTTTTGCTGAAACAACTGAGTATAAAGTTTTCTGCTACTGCAAAGAGGTGAAAATAAGTTTCTGTACCTGACATGTATAATCTTTCTAGACAAAAGCAGGGTCTAGTAGATTTATAGAACAAAATAAATGTCAGGTACTTCCATAATTTTCCAATATATTTATAACTTCACTAGATAACCGGAGATCAACTCTCGTCTCTTTTTCTCCCGTCTCCATAATTTTTCTCCTAACTGCTTTAATCGTTCTGCTCATACCGAAGCTGCCGACTCTTGGCTGGCTCTGACCTCTGGATAGGTTCAACCACTTTTCTTTTGTTACCTTCTTAAACTTGTCCTTGTTCACTTAAGTTAGGTCGATTTAAGTGTCTGGTTAGGTTTGTTGTTAGGATCGTTTTCGTGGTGGTCCCCCCGCAGTTTACTTTGGAGAACTTTGTCGCCGAACTCAGAGCTGAGACCATCTGTGCTAACACCGTGTAAGCTTGTGGCTGTGAATATACCACTGTGCACATGTTATGTATTTATGAGATATAGTGTCTTGTAATCAGACGTGAGGCTGTCAGAGGGTCACTGGTGCGAGCTGAGTACACTGGGAATCGGCTGATTGCAGTTCCTGGTTGATTCAATGTTGCGTTTTTTTTGTTTGTCTTTTTAATATTTTCCCACTTTGAGGATCTCATGCATCTCTGTTGTTACTTCATCTGCTGTTTCAACTGGCTGTTACTGATTTATGAAAATGGGAGAGTGTGTTAGTTGTTAATTATTAATTATTAGTGGTCATAAGCTGCTTCTTTGCCTGGACCACCCCCACTATAAACAAGCACTCCCACCTCCACCACACCGCACCCTATCCCTGCCACCCACACACCCACCAATATCAGTCATGGCCTATGTAACCCTCGTCACTTTCTCAACCCTGTCCTCTAATGTGTGACTTTGTATTGTGCCCCTTCCTCCTGTTTTGTGTATATACTCCTCATGTCTGTTATTTATTCCTGCTGTCCTGCTAGTTATGTTTTCATACCATGCTCAGATGGTGTGGCGCTCCCACAATTTTGTAGTACATGTACAACAATCTGGCATCTCTACTAGAAGTTTGTGCATTAAAACAAAGAGCTAAGAAGTCTTAAGTTAACTGGATGGATGCACACCAGATGTAAACCGCTGCGTGCTCAAATAAGCAGCTCTCGATCTTTATCTGCATCGAAGATAATAACATGTCAGCTGTTTTGTTCAAAATTTGTTTCCACTTTCCTCAATTGGCTGTGGAGGGGTGAAAAAAAATATTGCAGGTTTAAACTCTGTGTTTGACTCAGACAACTGTATTCTGCATGAGTATATGTGCACAACTCATCATATATTTAGGTAAGACATTGGATAAAAGCACATTTTGACAAATGAAGATGCTTTCTTCTGTCCTGCAAAGTGTTTTTGGAAGCTTCAGTGTTCGTTTTGCTGCTTTTTTCTGGTACAGTTGGTCTGTGATGTGTTAAACAGTTGGTATCAAACAAGCAGGATCAGCTTTTTTTTTTTTTTTTTTTTTTTTTTTTTTAAATTATGTGTAATCTTAGGTGGGTTGTGTTGTAGAGTTAATACTTTATGAAAGTGTCCAGGCTGTCTGTGACTGACACACATGTTCTCAGTTATCTGGTTTCTGTCTTGGTTATGTGATAAGTCGCAGGTTCCATGTGTTCAGAGGATGACTCATTAGTCACAGCACAGTAATGTGTTGTTTCTCTTATTGTCACCCATAAGGTATCTCCTTCAGCCAAAAGGGAACGGCAACAAATCCAAGTCTGATGATTTAGGATCCTTGCGTTTGAAGCTGACCTACATAGAAGACACAGTGCTGCCATCTGCCTGCTACACGCCACTCTGCACCCTGCTGCTCAAATCCCCAGATGTGAAGGTGAGACAGACGCTTTAAGTCGAAGCAAATCCTGATGAGAAAATTCCACACTGAGACGATGCAGAGATCGATATTGTTGTCTTTTCTCTTTTCACTTTTTTTTCTCACCCTTCTTCAGCCCATCTCAGCATCAGCAGCACACATCCTGGGGGACATTTGCAGAGAGCGATACGAGGTCGTTCTGCCGATGGTCCGACTGCTGCTCCACAACAATCGCTTCGTGCCTTTTGTCTCTGCTGTGGCAGCACTGGAGCTGGACAACACTCAGTGAGTACTCCTCTGGCACATACCTTTTTACACCAAGCCAAGTAGATACACCGGATAGAAACATGCAAACAGATGTTACTGCACTGCAGTCACGCTGTGTTTTCCCTAACAAACAGTTCAACTTTCTGGCTATGACTAATGCAATAAAACAGGAAGCAGCTCTAAAATACAATAGAGCTTCAAGAGTGAATGTGGTTTTAATTACTCGTCTTGACTCAGACGGTCTGATTCTGAAACTTCATAAAAATTCTAGTCACAAAATAAAGTCTAATTGGTGTCTGTGGAATATCTGTGTCCATACAGGGAGGCTAACACTATATTCCGTGGCAACTCGCTGGCAACGCGCTGCATCGATGACATGATGAAGATTGTGGGAAAGAATTACCTATCTGTCACCTTGAAGCCTGTAATAGATGAGGTATGAGTAAAAAGGAGACACACACACACACACACATCCTGTGTCGATGCCAGAATAGTCATGAATCACTGGGGTTAGAATGGAAAAATCCATTTAAACATCTGCCCTTCAGCCTCAGTCTGCAGATGTGCAGATGTAATTGGAGGGTTTGGATAGGCGCAGGGTATTTTCCTTTAAACGGTTTTAAAACTGTAATTTTTTTTAATCCTGTCTGGCTTGTTGACACTGGTCTAGATGTACAGGTTGAAGGCCACTGTAATTACCACAGTTTCTTGCAACTGTATCTACAGAGTGTGCATTATTGTGTATTTGGTCTTTTCTTTTATCTGTGACTTACAATTGCTAGTTAATTTGAGTTCTTCGACATAAAGCAAAAAGACACAGCTGGTGTTGAAAATGCCTTCAGTCCCTCCTCTCACTCACCGTGTCCAGCTGGTGTCCCTCCAATTTCAAGAAAATCTGAATAAACGTGCAGCTCCACACAGCAGCAAATCTCAGTTCTTGTTCACTTGAAATTTAAAGATTTGGTTTGTACTAATTGTTCTTTGTTTGCTTGCTTGATTTTTTTTTTTTTCCCCCTCGTATCTTTAACAGATTTGTGAATCCAACAAAACCTGTGAGATAGACCCTATTAAACTAAAGGAAGGTGACAATGTAGAGGTCAACAAGGTAAGTGCACCCATCTCACTAGATTTATCAGTCTTGTAACAGGATTAATTGAAGCTTTGCTTGTCGTAAAACTGCGAAAAAAGTGTTTATCCACTTTTTAGCTTCTGTTTAAAACATTTTAAAGTGATGCTAAGTTGTTGTGCGTTTTTTACTTTACCTGTGCAGGAAAACCTGCAGGGTTACGTCCAGAAAGTCTTCTCCTCCATCACCCAGTCAAGTTCTAACTGCCCACCACTAATGTGTGACGTCTTCAGGTCTCTGAGGCATTTGGCCTGCAAACGCTTTCCAGGTAAAACGTAGAGCCAGTGTTAAAAAGAAAAACTGCTGTGACAAAAGGTTATATGCACACCCACAGCAGGTGTGTAAATTGTGACGTAAATGTCATTATGCCGGGCTTTTAGCAGATTGCGATGTTGCTGCTGGCTAAATGCCTTAGTAGTCCACAGCAGTATATTAAACCAAATGATATTTGGTATATTTATATATACACTCACCAGTCTTTTCTTCGCATACACCTTGATTTTACTGGGTTGGACCTTTGCTTTGCCTTATGAGCTAACTTAATTCTTCATGGCATAGATTCAGCAAGGTACTCGATACATTCCTGAGGTTTTGGTCTATTTTGACAGTTTTGAGCTTTTCTCGTATAAAATATCTCTATTTTATACGCCATTTTTTTTTTTGCCGATTGAATTGAATTTGCTGGTTTCTCAGGTGTTTCTTTCTCCTCTCCACAGGCGACCCACATGTTCAGTACTCAGCCGTCAGCAGCTTTGTGTTTCTGCGCTTTTTTGCTGTCGCTGTTCTCTCTCCTCACTCTTTTCAACTGCGTTCCCATCATCCTGTAAGTACACGTCACCCACTCTCAGCGCTAATGACCAGTGAGCGTTTGCAGTTTACGTTCTCAGTCGGTTAACCTCGGTGCCGTTGTACATTTTCTGTAACTGCAGGATCCCGAGATTTCCCGGACGCTCACACTCATCTCAAAAACCATTCAGACTCTCGGCAGCTGGGGTAGCTTGTCAAAAAAGCTGGTAAGATTTATATTGCTGAAATTCTAGTGTGAACTACGTGTTGTCCACTTTATAGTAATTGACAAACAGAGGCACTTTCCAAATGCATTTTTTTTTCCTGTTATGCTAATTAAACCCACTTTGTTTTTTCTCTTTCTAGTCCAGTTTTAAAGAAACCTATATGTATGACTTCTTCAAATCATTCCAGGAAGAGAAGTGTATCGAAAAAGTTAAAAAGGTATTTTTTCCCCCCTCACATACTCACATAAAGGTCTATAAAAGGATTCATCATTTCTAATGGCTGTTATCATTTTGTTTCCAGTTTCTGGATGAAATCTCCTCCAACGTCAGTAAGGAGTCCAGTGGGCTGGAAGACGCTGTCGTTCTCAAGGAGGGGTGAGTGTTCAGTTCAAGTCTGGGCAGAACTGAGAACTCTCACTTGGTAATAAAGAAGCCTTGAGAGTAGGCATAAAACAACAAGTGAATTTTATGACACGATAACCGTTTGAGGGCGTTCACTATGTCCTGTTAGAAGACTCTAATTACATCATTTGAGCATAAAGATTACTCTGAAGTAATAAATTGTACTTGTGTTTTTTTTGCCTTAAGTAAATCAGCTCAGATTTGAACCCTTAGCCTGTCCTTTTGTAGGGAAGTACAGAAACGTGCTCAGGGGAGAAAACCCCCTGGAATGAAAACGTTTAAGAAGAGGTGGCTCAGACTGACCAACAGGGAGCTCTCCTACCACAAACATAAAGGTGAGACCAGTTTACTGTAATCTCATACTCGAATGTGATGAAAACTAATGAGACAAACACGTATGCACGGGTTACACGCAATGCTAAGTTCCCGATACTAGCACTAGATGGAGCTAAAGTAATTACTTGTATATTACTTATAAAATTAAGAGATTAAATGGACTGGTTCTTTTATATAGTGCATTTCTACTGAGTATTCAAAGCACTTTATACTTGCCTCATTCACCCATTCATACAAGCACTTTTTTTCTGTTTATGCCTTTTAAAGTACTGGACAATAAGCATATACAATGACCTGATTTGTTTTTGTAGTTTCCTGTGTTGATTACTTGCGTGTTGACTTTGCATCAGCTGATTAATGAAATGCATGTTTTGAGGGCTTTGCAGAGTAAATACTGCCTTTCTGTGATACTTAAGGAAAGTTTCGAGTGCTCAGTAAATTGTCAGAGAGAGAGGGTGTGATAATAAACAAGATTGATCATCAATCATTGGAGCCAGTTGATAGGAATATAAAACTTCAAGTCTTCAAGGAATTTCCCAAAAATCTGTTCAAAAACTGCAGCTTTTACTTTCATAGGAGAAGTTAAAATGTTTTATTTTCTTCTGCTCATTATTTAAGCTAAACGGTAATGTTGTTGAGACTGGAGGCTGTTTGTGCGTAAACCTAACAGAATGACTTGTTCTCCCCAGGGAAAGATGCCGACCGCACCATTAATGTCAAAAATATCCGGGCGGTGGAGAAAGTGGATGAAAGTGCCTTTAACCGCAAAAATGTAAGCCAGTTCCCCCTCTCACATGGCCCCGTCATCACTTCTCATGTATTACCCGTTTAAAATGGAAACGTCAGTGCCAGTGTCACTTCCTCCTGTTGTTATTAACAGTGAAAACGGCGCATTGTTGGTCTCATGGGCACGTTCACTTTCAAATGAAGTATAGAAATGACAATGTTGTTGTTGCTGGTGTAGAGGGGCGCTTAGTTTCTTGAGCTCAGAATGACCTTTATGGGAACGAAACGGTCACATCATAGTTTAACTACTTTGTTTCTCTGCGTCAGATGTTTCAGGTGGTCCACTCTGAGAAGCCTCTTTACGTCCAGGCTGGAAACTGTGTGGAAGCCAGCGAGTGGCTGGAGGTCCTGAGCCAGGTCAGTCGTTGCAACGAGGGACGCCTGGCCACTTTCCACCCGTCAAACTACACCAGCGGGGCCTGGCAGTGCTGCCAAAGCCTGAGTAGCAACGCTCCAGGCTGCAAGCCCTGCACAACGTGAGTTTTTCCTCCACATCAACACCACCGCGAGGGGCGGGGCGGGGGGAATGGTTCAGTACCCTCGCTGCCATACGTGGGGCGTGTGTTGCAGATCACAATAAACGCTTAATAAAACTGCCTGCTGGTCTTAAGTTTGACTGACTGTGTAGGTGCTCACGAGCAAACCTTAACCTTTTAATCATTATCTCTTGTTATGAGGACATTTCAAATGGAAAATAGAAAACTTCTAAAGCAGGATTTTTCAGGTGTGCTGATTTTTATATGATGTTAAAAAAGAAAAGTCTTTTCAGCGTGGCATCAAAGCAGGTTAAGTTTGAAGTTTTCAATAAGGAAGAGGCTTTGTAGGGACTAAACTGAGCTTTAATTGAGAAGTGTTTGATTTCATTTATCAGCTACTGACTTTGAGGACTGTCATTTAGCTGCTCTGATGTTGTCGATCTTCTTCACCGCCTCTGTAGATGTTTAGCAAGTTTACAAAGATGAGTCAGATGGTGCACTTTCATGCTAACGTCTGTAGTGTAAGTGATGTGTGCGAGTGTGGAGAGATGCATGTATTTACGTTGTTTTTCTTAGTTTGTGAGTTTCCTTTTTTTTGCTGCTTTTTCCTGCAAAGATTTCTCTACACTTGTGTTCTCTCCTGTTTCAGCACCATGCTGGCCAACCTGCAGCTGGATATAGACTGTGACCGAGAAGCAGAGAGAATTTTCTCACTCCTCTCAGCAAACGACACAAAGCTTCAGAGCATGGAGGGTCAGTATCAGCATCGTTTTCAGAAATGCTTCATTAGAGAGAGCAGGGTATGGTTCATATAAATGCAGCTGACTCATGATATGACGTTCAGTTTAGGGTATTTAATCGTATAAAACTACAAGCCTTATGTATACATTAGGCCCAGTGTTGTGCAGAGTGAGGTCAGATCAGCTGGTGTTTGTCTCTCAGACATTTGCGAGCTTTTTTTTTTTTTTTTTTTTTTAACACCAGCAGCTGTCCTTTGTGGGATCAGCCATCAAAGCAATCAACGTATGAAGATGTCAGGTTTTAAATTCATTCATTCTCCACACTATGGTGTGTTTCACACGAACCACTGAGGGCAAAACTTTTAATTTCCAGTGTGGCGGGACAACTCATTTTCAGCCTTCATCTGGTGATTTAGAGGTGAAGTTGGTCTAATTCAGGACCACTAGAGCACCAACATCTTAAAGCAAAACCACAGACAGTATAAATGGTCACGTAGCTACTGTGACATCATCTGTTGCTGAGCATTTGGTAACCATCCCACAGATAATCCTCCTCAAACACAGTATCGCCAAACTTTACAACATAGATTTAATTTATTATTCAGTGTGACCCAAAACGAGTGACTAAGCCCATAAAGTCATCGGGAATCTGTTTGGTTATCTCAATAAACATTTTCCCACAGACTTGTCTAGTAACAGAAGTCCTTTAACAGACACAGCTATCGCCATCTGGTGGCCAACTTAGGGCACTTTTACACAGGCTTCATTCATTTGACCTTAAAGCTAAATCTACGGTGGCTCTGAGAGGACAAATGGATTGCAAGATAAGAAAGTAGCAGGAAAATCTCACAAAACACAACAAAGTGTTTCTAGGGAGACAATAACAGGACAGACGAGCTGTGGAAGTGACAGAAACCAAAACATGCACCGGACTGCACTGGGACGTGCTTACAGGAGGAAAACACTTCCGTTTTGTTTTGTAATTTTATTATTATTATTTTTCTTGTGTTTTATGTGCTTTTGCAGGAGTTTTTCTATGTACTGGTGTTTTCTTGCAGTGCATTTGACCTCTCAGGGCCACTGTTTGCATCCACGTTTCATACAAACTATTAAACACGCCTCCTTTTTTGTATCACATGGTTTTCCCCATTGGGCTGAACACCTCGGACACCCAGTCTGCCATCTCAGTTTTTCTACTTTCACTCTGGTGTCTGTGTAAAAGAGCGAGGGTAAACTGTTTTGCACATACTGCTAATGAAGCTGTTACTTCACTATATCGTCGCGTAGATAAAAACTTGTTTCCTGCCGTCTTCGTGTTCACCATCTCACTTCCGAGCACTTGAAGTTGCACTTTGTAATGTTTGTCCTCTCCACAGATGCCTGTGCCAGTTTGGCAGTGTATCAGGGCCCCCAGCGAGAGCCGGAGGAATACTCAAAGTTCACCATTCAGGAACCCAAAGAGACCTTTCACACACTGAAACAGCTCCGAAACATCATGGAGGAGCTGCAGCGGCAGCACAATAGCAGGAATGACGTACGGCAGTACGGCAGCCTGTAAGTCTCCATGTTACATTATTACAATACACCAGTTTTACGCAGTATGAGTATATAATGCAGTGACGGTAAATGATGTGGAAATCGTATTAATAATACTAAAACACATTCTGCAGTGTGGATGCTGAAAGTAGGACTATGTGATCTAAATTGGTAGAGGAAGTGCAGAACACGATGGCAAAGAAAAATGGGAAATTTTCAAAATAAGACGCTAAAGTTGTGATCTAAAGCCCTGCAAAGGACATCACAGGTGCACAGGGCAGCATCTGATATCCCCATGTTGTTGTTGTCCCTGGATCATCATCATCATCGATGTTGGTCCAGGTTTTAATACTGCAAGGGACCATTAATACTGTTGTGATGTCATAGTTTTTCGACATGGAAACACAATCACGTCACACAGCAAAGCCAAACCTTAATCCTAGCTCTGACTATGGCCCCTCTATCCCTGCCCTATAATGATAATGATGATCCAGGACGAACACCTGGATCTCCGCTACACCTGAGGATCAGTTCAAAAGTTTTGGACACTAAAAGTAAAGCTGGGAAGCTTGCAGAAATAACAAAAGAAAGTTTGACTTAAAGGGACTAACGCCCTAACTTTAATGTTTTATTACAGCTGTGGCCCAGGACTCTCAGAAAGATCACTTACTCATTATCTTTGTCTTCCTTCCCGTTTCAGTGACAACCCCATAGTGGGAAAAACCTCTTAACCTGGCTGGGGCGATCTGGTCCAAAAGCAGCCACGCCTGCATCACAACAAAGCGCCTACGTTGTCCATTAGAAGCCCCAGGAGCTGTGCCAGTGAGAAAAGGTGCGACCAGGTGAATGATACGCCACCTGACCTCCACATGTCATGAGTCCACTACAGCAGTGACAGCCCGAGAAGGGGAGCCAGAACAAGCTTGTGAGCTTGACCAGGATCGCACCTTCATCCTCGAAAGGAATGAACCCTTAGGTGTTTTTTCTTTTTTTCTTTTTTTTTTGAAGTATGTTGCCTCATCTCCTCCCCGTCCTCTGCAGTGAAGGTCACAGATTCTATCCGTGTCTTAACTTATGTCCCCCTTTTTACGTACAGCTGTGTGAAATGGGCATCATTAGATGGTGTGTGAATAGGCTGCTAATTTTTTCTTTTATTCACAGAGTTTTATACGAACAGCTGTAATGATGCTCTCCTCTCATCTGTGAACATCTGTCTTTACAGTTGATTCCTAATCACCAATCTGGAGGCCCCTCCCCCCCGTAAACTTCAGTCTTTTCTCCTCCTCCTGAACAAATGTAAATGTATATTTTCAAAGAACATTTAAACCGGTCTGCCTTACTTTGACGGATGTTTCTTTCACATCAAATGCTGAGGGAATAATGCAAAAGCACTTTAAATATTTGGAGCACTCCAAATAGAAAATGATTGGATACTTGGTATCAGCTTTCCCCATTTTGATCAGTTACATGATCCTTTGTTTCATTCCTGTACAATAACATTTATAGCCTGTAGATTTTAAGATATTTTTCTTGACCAAAGACGATTTCATAGGTTTGAACATGAACTTGAAGAAATTAATGTATTTTGAATACAAATGGTTTAAAAATGGAGATAAATAAGATGAATATATATAAATATATATATGTTTGGTTTATGTGTACGTTTTTGCTAACATATCCTTTACTTTTTAGTGACTTAAGGCAAGCAGTTTGCATGCGTTCAGTTTTGAATCCTGATAGCACGACTGTAGTGAAGAGTTGTATTTCCCTGTGATTGTGAATCGTATCGGTACGGTGTGCGTCAGATCTGTGCTGTCGTGTTGAGAGCCTTGAAACCTTACTAACAGTGGCTTATGTAAGAAATGATGTTCAACCTGCAGAGAGGAACCAATTGGAATAACAAAATCGCCCCTGTCTTTCACGCTTTAGTCCAGACAATCTCCGCCAGTGCGCACGTTATGTCCTCCTTCTTTACTATCGCGGCTCCAGCTGTTTTGTTTCATCGTCTTTAGGGAATTTTCTTGAAATGTGGCACAGCTGTTTGCCACAGCACTCTGCTGCAATGACCAGTAGAGAAACGTCTGTGTAGTAAAGGGAAAAATATGATGTTATTACAAACTGTCAGACTCTTAAAGTTACTCATATTCTAGCATGCATGTCCTGCAGGAGTAGGGTTGCATCAGATGAACAAAGCAATAGCAAATAATCAAGATTGATTGCGTAAAATAGAGATTATCAAATTTACTTTGTGGGTCTTACTCCATTTTAATTGAATTCAGTTTGTTTGTAACTGACACAAACCAGCTCCTCAATTTTATTTTTTAAGTGGTAACCAGCAAAATTTCCCCCCAGTTAGGCTGATTTTGATTATCAGTCGGAGGATTGTTTTGTTTTTTTGGGGGGGGGGATTTTTGTTCATTTTTTCCCTCTGAAAGAACCAGTGAACAATCACTTTGATTCAGTCTTGATTTTTGAGTTCTTTTTTTGTTCCTTCCTGTGGTTTTGAGTCTGCTTCCCATTTGAACGATGAAGTGTTGAATAGAGACAAAATTAAAGTGGACCTGTTATGCTTCTAAATTCTCTCATATACTTACAGGTTTAATTGTGGGTGCTCATATAAACAAGTGTATGCAGAGTTAAAAGTTCACACTGCTCTACATTCACTGTTTCAGAGGTTGTTTTGTTGTGTTTTTTCTACTCATGGATGGTGATGATGTCAGAGAGTGGATATCCCCTTATATGGTCATCTCAGCTCCATATAGGGGGATATCTAGGGCATCCAATCAGAAGGAAGGATTTCACAAAGCCTTAAAGAGACAAACGCTCAAACAGGTTATTTTAGGTAGACGATCAAATGAGAAGAAATACAAACATGGAGCAGTGAAAGAGCATAACGGGTCTCCTTTGAACATCTAAAGTTTAAACATTGAATGCTGATATTACAGGGTTAACTGTGTCTTTTCTTTTATTTGTCTGTGATTGTTTTCATGAGTTGTGTCTTTGGTCCATTATCTATTTCTAACTTGCATGTCTTGTACATTTAACAATATATTTTTCTAGGAAAATGTTTTGTACCTTTTTTTTTTCTCTCTTTTAAACACTGATTTTAATGTATTACTCAGCTGGTACTTTTGTTCTCAGTCTGTCGACTTCGTCAAGGCTGGATGCTTTCTGCTTTTGTGTTTTTTTTGTTGTTGTTTTGTGTGTGTTTTCTATGCCCGTGCGCACTCCTTATTGGCTCCTCGTGGCCATAACTCCCTCAAAACTCCCTCTCGTTGAAGCTGATTAACACAGTGTTACTGCGGTGAATGTCGCGTGTTCACGTGCACGTCAGTAGTGAACAACGTGCCTGATCGGAGCCAAAATAAAACTGTAAAGTGATTTCACGCCGATTCGGTTAATGGACTTTGCTTATGATTTGAGTGACGCTGAATAAAAACAAATCTCTGATGTCAAACTTCGACATCTGAATCGGAAAGCTAGCGTAGAATCAATTGTTGTTGTATCGCATAAGCTTGCATGCTAACTCCATTGCTAGTTTTAATAAGGCCAGTAAACTAGAGGGTGGTGTATGTGTGCTTATTTTCATAAAACGTGAACGGGGTGGGGTTGTTTTAATCTGTCTGATTTTAATAGGGGAAGTTTCTTCATTTGTTTGTTGTTATAAACGATCTCTATGTGGAAACATGTGACTTTCCTGTTGGACTACAGCCAGCTTCATTTCATAAGATTACCAAACAGGAAGGGAAATGTCCATATGTGCTTTGATCTATCAGGTGAACACAGGGGAAATTAAGGTATTAGCCAACATGCAGATCTGATATGGCTCTTAAGAAGGACCAAAATCTGATATCACTGCAGTTTGTTTTTGCAGGTGTATCTGAAACAATCTTTTCTTTTTTTTTTTTTTTTTTTTTCTCCTGCCAATCAGATTGTTCTGTGTCAAAGCAAAGTGTGAGTGCAGATGACCGTCTGAAGGCTTTGTAGAATTTTTTTTCTTTCTTTTTTTTTTTAAAGCTAAAGTCTCTTCTTGTCCAGTAAACGGTGAGCAGTTCGATGTTATCGTCACATCTCCAGCTCGTTTCTTCTGAATGTCTGTTATTTTTATACACATTAAACATTTTATTTTTCCATAAATGGTCTATTCTGTGTCTCTTCATAATAAAAACACTTTGCCAGTGCCTCTTCTGTTTGTTAGGTGTCTGTTTTCCTACTGCGCTGATGTGACCTGCGTACAGTGTCCTCCACGATTCAGACAAAGAAACAAGTTGTGTAATTTTGCGTATAACTTGCTAAAGGTTTGCAATTGGATTCAGGTCTATAGCAGATTGAGGGCCAGCCAATGGCACCAATGTTTTCAACGTGAAGGAACCACCAACGGACTGGGCTCATTAGGCCGTGCACCAGGAGCGACCCAGGGCTCACTGTGCCAACTTAAAGTCTGACAGTCGAGATTATTATCTCCATAATAACAGCAGTCAGGATACTGTTGGCTAGCAAGGAGGGATTGCATAGATGGGCTGCACCAATAAGACAAACTAAATTCTGCTGAATTAATTTCTCATCCCGACTCAAAAATATGTTGGACCCTCTCGCCACCCTGTGTCTAACAGCGTGCTCATGCTGTTTTTCCTCGCACAAAGGAGCGTTTACCTGTCCTGCTGCTGGGTTGATACCCGTCTAAAGCCCTATGCCACAGCTTGCGCCCTGGTATCTCCTCCACACTCTTGAGACTTTGAGGAAGATGCAGCAAAAACCTTCTTCTTGGACTACCTGTGCAACCTGAATAGGCTGCAGGTATCATCTCATGCCCTCTAACTGTAGAAAGTTAGTTTTCAGAGCGAGGCTAAGCTGGCTTTGTGGCAAACTGTGATGAGCGAGCTTGACGTTTGTACAGTTGGAAATGTAGATCTTAGCATAAAAGATGGAAACTAGCTTGGCTGCCTAGAAACACTTTAAAAGTGTTGGTAGCAGGACTTTTATTACTTTGGTCTGAGTCCAGATATCAGTTTAACCTGTTTACCATACAAGTAAGGCATGCTTTAACTGCCTGTGCTCAGCGCACATCTGCGAGATCTTGATAAGCTGGTGTGATTTTTGCCAAGGTCGCTAAGGGTAAGAGCTAATAACCAGTAAAAGATAATAAACATCAAACATGAAAGACATGTTTTCGCTCCTCTGGTGGGGAGGGGGCAAGTTTTGAATGTCTCTGGGTGGAAAAATATTTGGGTTTAGAGGATTGAATTTATACCACAGCGTGAGACGTCCTCACCTTACAAAGAGCTCCATCTGGGAAGGTAGACACACACTCAGACAGGAGTTTAAGGTTAAATACACAGATCATACAGGATGCTGCTTTGTGGTCCCTGAAGTGCGTGTGCAGTCTTTCTATATGTTGCGCTTCTTACGTGTGCATCTCCTGCTCCAGCTACACCACAGAGAGGGTGAAAAACTGTCTGTTGTAATTTAAATAAACCACACTGATCTGTTTCAATCTGTTTATTCATCATCGAGTAATATCAGCGATATATCTTCTATGAGACATTTAGGTCATGCAAAGTTTTAACTCTGCCTGGTGTCAGGGGAAAAAGGAAGCCTTTTACGCACAAAGTCCACAATGAAAAGATTTATAGGACAAAGCACTGCATTTGCAAACATTTTACACTCAAAGGCTTTAGGTAAGCTGTTTTCTTCTTTGCATATAATGTAAAGTAGCTGCAGACGCTTTCCATTAAACTTCTGCATGTCCGCTTTAAGCTGCATCTGCTGTTTAAAATGCACCCAACAATAACGAGGCATCGTCCCGTGAATCTGCTGCTCACACAGACATGCCGTGGGCTCTGCAAGGCGGCACGCCGGCCAGTGGGGCGAAGGGAGGCGGGTTGGCCTTCTCTGCTGAAGAGCAAAACGACGATCCTCCCTGGGAGAGCAGGACAAGGGAAAAGAGACATTAACCACAGACTTCACAGCTTCTGAGTGAAAACTCACACTTTTCAAATAAATTATTAGTTTTATAACCCGTTATGTTATAAAAAAGAAAACAGCTGAAGCACTGTAGAGCCTACCCGGTCCCTTTTGATGCATTTGAGTTTAAAACCCCGACTCGAGGCCCCCTTTTTCACGGGCCTTCACAGACAGCTCGTTGTTTCAGTCGAACTGTTGTTTAAGATCAAACCTGCAGAAGCCTTGTTAATTGTTCTGATGGAACATTCAGCATTATTGGTTGTAAACACGTGGGTTTATTTTATTAAGATGCAGCCAATAAATTGCTCCGATGTGGGTGGTCAACAGAGCTGCGGTTCGTGGAAAACACTAGGTTTCTGGATTAGAAAGGGCCCGTGAAGATTTAAAACAGAGCTTTGGCTTCCCCTGATTGTTTTCCACCTAAACACTTGTGTGTGGCCTTCTCAAAAAAAAAAAAAAAAGAATTTCCTCATTTATTTTAAACTTATAATCTCCTTCATACTAGCTAACTAACACTTCTCCAAGCATAATTAACAGACCGAAACCCCACGGGGTACTAAAAAAACTGAACGCAGTGCTGTGTTTTAAATGTGAACAAACAAGATTTGCATCTGGATTTGGATCGATCAGAACCACAACTCGTGCAAATCAAAGCACACTTCTTTTTGAAATGTGCTGCTGGAAACGATGTGACATTACTGTGGTTGTCACTAAACACTTGCAGGTTCACCTCTGAGTGTGTTCCTGTCAGAACCAGAACTAGATGCTATTATTACATCATCTTAGCCATGATCTTTGAGCTCTTTTGGGGTACACTACATTCAAAACAAACTTGTATCTGTAGTGAAAATCACAGCATGACCTTTAAAAAACATTCATACTGAACAGGAATTTATTGCTGTAGCCACAATGAACGAATGCCAACATGCAAAGAAACAAGAAACACTACTGCCTGCACTGGGCCTCAGTGAAGGATGCAGATCTGTGAATGACTGTAAGAATAGTTTTTCAGGTAAAAGTTTAAAAGCGGTCTTTGATATCTCAGCAGCCGATCCTGTAAAATCTTCAACTTGTTTTTGTGACACATCTGTCAGATGTTTGGTTGGATTGAGATGTAAAGAATTTCCTCTGACTTTTTTCTTTTTCCTCAAAGCAAGCAACACTACCACTGGACTCCAGAGCAGTGGAGATGTGTTCTCTGGAGTGACGATTCGTGCTTCTCTGCCTGGCAATCTGATGGATGAGCCTGGCTTTGGCAGTTGCCATGAGAATGGTCCAAGACATTTTGGAGAATTTCATTTTCCCAAGTTTGTGAGAAAAGTTTGGGGATGGTCCCTTCCTGTTCCAATATGACTGCACACCAGTGCGCAAAGCAAGGTCCATAAAGATGTGGATGAGCGAGTTTGGTGAGTCCTGACCTCAACCCAGTAGAGCACCTTCGGGATGAATTAGATCCAGGCCTCCGACATCAGTGTCTGACCTTAAATGGTCAAAAACTCCCACAAACACACTCTGAAACCTTGTGGAAAGTCTTCCCAGAAGAGTTGAAGCTGTTATAGACGTCACTCGAGTTCATATGCGTTTGAAGGCAGATAAGCAAATACTTTTGGAATATAGTGTAACATCCACATGAAGGCCAGGACAAGCATGGTTTCCTGGCAGAATCTGTTTGCCCAGATCATCACACTTCCTCTGATGCCCTCGTTGGTTCACCGGCTGTCCTTCTGGATCCACTTTTGCTCATCATATCCACAATACTCCACAAGGCCTGCCATTTTTGACGTCCTCTGACTCCCCCTGGAAAAGTCTCTTAGATCCTTACATTTTCCCAATTTTCCAGCTTCTACCGCCTCACCTTCTAAATTTATTCCTTTGCTGACTGATGTATATCTCACCCCCTAACAGGTACTATCATGACAAGAAAATCACTTCACCTATGAGTGTTTTAGTATTGTGGCTGATAAGTTACACCATGGTCTCCAAAGTCCATCATAAAGAAACACTGAAAAATTCTGCATGAAATCATTTTGTGTGACACTTTGAAACCACAATTAGCTTTAAAGGAATTTTTAATATAGGGAGGAAACAGAGCGGTTTGCTGGCCAGTCGAGAAGTTTACACGAGAAACAGTTTAGACTTCACACAGCCACTATATATTTGTAATTGTATCTCTGTGTGTTGGCGTGTGTGTGTGTGAGAGAGACGGTGTTGACCTCACATTGACTGGGTGGAGCTGGTGTGCTGTGTGTATATTGGCGTCCATCAGCAGAGGAGCTGTTGGGGAAGATGCTGTTTTCTCAGAGGGATCAGCCACAGGGCTGCTGCTCCACTGAGGCAAAGAAAGGGAAACACACACACATGATATTAGGTAAGTGCAAAGAAGGGGAAAAATCAGTTGATATTGGGACACCAAATATTGATATTTTATTAAATAAATTAAAATATACTGGGAATAGTACGAACACGTACACCATCCTGAGATAACTTACAGTAAATCCACTAAACTGATAAACCATCCAACACTGGGCACACTTATCTTGACTGTGGCGGAGGTGTGGTCCCTGGGTCAGCTGCAGGGGAGGGGTGGTACAGTGAGCTCAAGGAGCAGTGCCAGGGAGGTTGGAGCGACAGGTGGACATGATCTAACTAATCAGGTTTCTCCCTTTTTATAGTGAGGTTGGAGATCAGAGACGGGATAGCGCGAGACAGCTGGAACGCTAGCGGACGCTTGTGCCGAACCAGGGAAACAGTGTTCGTGTGCAAAATCAATAAAAACGATTAAGCAACACGGGAACAGTGTGTCAGGTCTCTACAAAATCTCTATCTCTGGCTGTCAAGGTTGCTTGACTCAGCGGCCGTATTCTGGTTTCAGGGTAGCAGGACAGCAGATATGTGATTTTTGATGATTTATCTCAGGGAACTGTTCTATTATTGGAAACAGATTGCATATAATTGCCAACTTGACCCCATTCATTAGCAAACTGACATCAGACTGACTGCATCTTATCTTATGCATCAACAATGTCTTCTGTGGAAACTGTCACTGAACATGATATATTGAAGGAAGTGAAAAACATTTATCTTTGATTTGTTCTTGTTCTTATCTCTCAAAGTGAAAACAACACCGATGTGATGAAGCTGCAACATAACGCTTCTGAAAATTGTTTTTTTTTCTAAGCTTTGATTTTAGTTTGGTGGGAAAAGTCTTTTGAACTGATAAACGTTACCGATGGACTGAGGTTTAGCGGATCAGAGACAGCTCTGTCAGCCTCTGCTGATAGAACCGCCTGCCAAGCAGTCTCAGGAACATTGTTATTGCATCACTCTCCTTGTATTTAACTTTTATGAGAGACCATTCAAGACATGCATGAGAGGTAAGGGAGAGTTTATTATGCAGACAAATCAATGCTCTTGTACACCACAGTGTCAATGCAACACGTGGTCTGACTACAATTTTCTGGCTGCACAGCAATCAGGTGTCCGCTTCATGCGGGACTCAGTCGTCAGGTCCTGCGCGGACCAACTGTGTTGGGTGATGGAGCACCTCTTCAACCTGAGCCTGAGGTTGGGAAGAGTCCCACAGCTCTGGAAAACCTCCTGTGTTGTACCAGTGCCAAAGACTTCACGCCCCAAGGACCTCAACAGCTACAGGCCGGTGGCTCTGACATCCCACCTGATGAAGACCCTGGAGCGGTTGGTCCTGGCTCAGCTTCGGCGCCTAATAAGCTCATCACTGGACCCACTTCAGTTTGCCTACCAGCCTGGCATTGGAGCGGATGATGCCGTCATTCACCTCCTACATCGTTCCCTCGCTCACCTGGAGACCGCTGGAAGCACTGTGAGAATCATGTTCTTTGATTTCTCCAGTGCCTTCAACACCATTCTTCCCTCGGTTCTGAAGGACAAGCTGGAGAACTCTGGAGTGGACCATCACCTCACTACCTGGATTTTGGACTACCTCACCGACCGACCACAGTATGTGAGGACTCAGGTCTGTGTGTCGGACAGGGTCGTCTGCAGTACGGGGGCCCCACAGGGAACGGTTCTGGCTCCGTTCCTCTTCACCATCTACACTGCAGACTTCTCCCACAATTCCACCCAGTGCTTCCTGCAGAAGTTCTCTGATGACTCTGCAATAGTCGGCCTCATCACTGATGGGGACGACAAGGAGTACAGAGGACTGACTCAAGACTTTGTGGACTGGTGCCAGCTGAACTACCTCCAGATCAACGCCAGTAAAACCAAGGAACTGGTGGTAGACTTCCGCAGGCACAAGCATTCTCCACTGCAACCACTGAACATCTAGGGTATGGACATTGAGGCTGTGGACAGCTACAGGTACCTTGGTGTTCATCTGAACAACAGACTGGACTGGACTCATAACTCAGACGCCCTCTACAGGAAAGGGCAGAGCAGGCTGTACCTGCTGCGGAGACGCAGGTCGTTTGGAGTGGAGGGCCCACTCCTGAAGACCTTCTATGACTCTGTGGTGGCTTCTGCTATCTTTTATGGTGTGGTCTGCTGGGGCGGCAGCATCTCTGCTGGGGACAGGAAGAGACTGAACAGGGTGATCCGAAGGGCCAGCTCTGTTCTAGGATGCCCTCTGGACCCAGTGGAGGTGGTGAGTGACAGGAGAACGGCGGCTAAGCTGTCATCCCTGTTGGACAACGTCTCCCACCCCATGCAGCAGACTGTGACAGCACTGAGCAGCTCCTTCAGTGGGAGACTGCGGCACCCACGGTGTGGGACGGAGAGATTTCGCAGGTCTTTCCTCCCACTGCTGTCAGACTCCACAACAAAGACTTTAACTGAACAAACACACACATCCACACATGTGCAATAACACTAAGTGCAATAATCTTTTCTGGCATCGTTGTATTTTTACTCAGTTGTATATAGCATTCGTATTCTATTTTTATCTTATTGTATATTTTTATTCTATTTTATTCTACTGTATATAGTATATTATTTTATTCTATTCTGTACAGTTGTGTACTGTATTTATTCTTATTGTATTCTAATTTTTGCCTCATAACTTTTGCACTGTCCACTTCCTGCTGTGACAAAACAAATTTCCCACGTGTGGGACTAATAAAGGTTATCTTATCTTATCTTATCTAGCACTTTTATTTCTTGCCTCTCATCCCGCACGTCCCAAATTTTGATTGGTTCTAGTTTTCAACAGTTAGCGCTGCAATTCAGACACATTTCCTAAAGTTTTTCTTTAATGCAGAGGTTGTTACAACAATAAATAAGGCTGTCATCTGGGGTCAGCCTGATCTCACTGCCCACACAACAGGGAAGAGCATGAGTCACCACAAAGCTGGCACGCTCCAGTGGAAACTTCAACAAAGAAAAAGAAATGCAGCTACAATAAGATGACGAAACTACTTATGAATGAGTAAAGCCAGTGCGAGAGTTTTTCTCTTTTAAACAGGAGAGAATGATCTTGAAGCGAGGAGCACATGTGAGTATTACAATGTGCTGCCCGTGATTCAAAATGTGATGGAGTCTGCATGATTTGTGTGATTTTCTTTTTTTAATATTAGAAAAACCATAATATCAAACCACCTTTCATCATTAATAACATACTTTTTGACACTTATTTATTTTATTGGGATCTTTTTATCCGTGTACAGAAAGTGAGGTAGGGAGGTCAGGAGTGGGAAGGCTGTATTCTGTGGTTGGATGTAATCACTTCTTACAGTCAAGGCACGCAAAGAGATGAGAGACAGACTTTATGGCTGTTTGGCTTGGCTTTAAGATGCTGCACTTCATGCAGTCAGAATTATTTTTCCATTTTCACAGTGTTGAGTTTAGTCTGACTCAGTGTTGAATGACCAGTATCTAGGGAATTTGTAAAAGTGAGACGGTTTTATTTTATATTTGGGAGGGAATCATTTTTGGCCTTTTGAACAACTGCACTAGGCTACTGCATACTGTGCAGCAGGAACGTGAGAGCAGATGGTGCCATGATCCACGCTCGCTTTCCAGTGTTTTCCTTCTCCTGTTATCCTTTTTCCTTTCTGTTTTGCTCTCTCTGCACTGGTGAGGGGTAAAGACGAAACATTAATCTCTCCCCTACAGTATACATGCCTGCTATCGTGCTATTTACGCTAAAGTCTTGCAACTGTTGCTGGCTGTTTTATGTTTCCAAATGGAAAATTTAAAAATTAAACATTTTTAAAAATCTGAGCAGAGCAACTGAAGCGACAGGACAACATTGGCTGAGATATGACAGAGTAATAAATACATTAGAGGGTTACCTTAGCCTGAAATATCTGCTAGCAATCAACCGCCATCTTCGAAGGAGGACATAATGGGCAAATTTCTCCCTTAACTTTATTTAGACACCCCTCCCACACCTTGCAGGCAACACTTTTTTTAGACGTTTTATTTGAATCAAGGTCTCCTCAATGAATGTAGGTGTCATTATGTGTCCACCTGTAGTTGAAACAACAATCTGTGAGAAAGTCACACGGGTGTGAAATTTTGACGGTTGTTATTTTTTAAAATCGTTTTTATCATTAACTTGGTTTCCCTGGGTCTTTTCCCGTGTGTGATGAATAAATCGTAATTTTTGGGTACCGGTACTGGCTTTATTTTGTTGTATTTATCCGTGACACCTTAAAGGCCGGTCATGTCGGACATAAACCGGTCCGTGGTGCAAAAAGGTGAGTTTGACGTCTGATGTCAGTTTGCTGCCTGCTCTACAGGTCATAAATAAACTAGTGCAGCTTTAAAATCCACCACATTTTGTGTTGTTGCACTTTTTTGTTCAAGGTAGTTTGTGTAAATACATGCACACAGATCACAATCTACTACAATTAATTGTGGTGTGCCACAGGGTTCAGTCCCGGGACCTCTGCTCTTTATTTTCTTTCTCCTTCCTCTCTGCAGTATTTTCAGGAAATATAACATTTAGGTTCACTGTTATGTAGATGACACACAGGTTGCTGTGAATGTCTTACCAACTCTCTAATGCTGCCCAGCACTGCTGTGGTGAGTATTCCTGTGAAGAAGGCCACGAGGTTGAGGCCGGCGAGGGTCCAAATTAAAATGTACACTGTAAAGACTTCCTCACAGCTTTCTACTCCAACAAATTCATAGTAGTTGCTGAGGTAGCCTCCACTGCATAACAAAGCCACAGAGCAGGTTAGTTCCAATGATTTGTAAGACAAAACACATAAAAGTCGGATGATCAGGATATTTGTGACTGAAGTTCAGACTTTCAGCTTTAACTGAAGGGGTTAAAGCCTTATGGCGTCGCTGAGCTGCTCAATCCAATCCAATTCATTTTAACAATGATTTGGTCACTCCCATCTCTCTGTCTTGTAGGTTTATTTAGTTTTTTAATGATGACCTAACTTATCTCTGCTGACAACTCATTGGATGTCGAGCTCTCCACTGAACAGCAACCAAATGCAATTTCAAGAATTTGAATCAACTTCAGATGTTTGCTGATTTTGTCATGAATTAATAAGGAAACAGGCTTCACCTGACCATAAACCTGCTCGTCACACAACTATGTGATTACTTTTGGGCATTTCACAATGGGGACTGTACAAAAACGACTATAATGCATAAAGAGTTAATGCAGTACTTTGGTTAAACCCCTTGAATTAAAGCTGCAAATTTACACTTTAATAGTTTGATTTAAAGTCCACTGTGATGGTGAACAGAGAAAATGCAAAAAAAGGTGTTTTTGCCCCAAAACGTATGGATGTATATGAACGTGTCTATCATTTTGTTCAATCTGTGATCACATATGACATAGATTACTGAATACTAATGATTAAATGTCTCACTTGGCGCAGTCATACAGGTCGCAGCAGTAACAGGTTCCACTTCTTACCGTCATGGTACAAGACTCCTTTAGACTCCAACACGACACCTGGGCAGCGAACCACAAGCTCACAAACATACAGACAACACAACTGGAGGTTTATCCTGCACATTCGAATCTATCCAGACTGGTTGTGACTATGTATCTGAATTAGTCACAGGATAATGTTTTCCTTCAGCGTGTCTCTACTCACAGAAGTGTAGAAATTCTCATAGATGTAGCAGTTGCCGCTGCTGTAATACTGACATCTCCCTGCTTTCAGTGGCCGCATGTCCTGGCAAAAGTTAACATGAGAAACAATCCACAACATTTCACCCAGAACCATTCAAATCAATCTTTATTCGGTGCAAACAGTGGTAAGTTTGAAGTCGAATAAAACGGTCTCTTCCAAAATTCACTCAGTCCGATTTGAAACTGTAACACGAGGTCAGCATGGTCCTTTATTATTGCTTCACAGTCTTCAGTTAACTGTGCAGCCATCTGCTGAGGTTACAAGCAAGTGTAGGTATCTCACCATATTTAAGGCAATGCAGACGCCGTCGATCACCAAGCACACAGAAGAGACGACGATCCCGAAACTGAGAAAGACAATGGCAGCGGTCAGCTGGAGGAGAAGCAAAGGTGAAAACACAAATGAGAGCGCTATAATGTAAGATTTGTGGCAGATGAAAGGCTGGAGGGAAGCCTGACAGGAATGCAGAGAAAAGCTGAGGAAAAGTTTTTTTCTTTCTCTCCAACACATAAGCGTTTTTTCATGTGGATCGTGTATCGTAGGTGTGAAGCTATTAGGTTCCTCACAAAGCACTTAAAACCGTGTTTTTTGAAAAACCGAACTTTGAGAGGCGTAAAATATTATGAAAGACATTTTTTTAAAGGTGGAACCTGTTAATTATATAAACAGTACTGTGCAAAAGTCTTGAGCCAAACTTAATTTCTTTATATTTTGCCAGGAAAATGGGAAATAGCTGCATCGATTTACTGAAACATTTGGAAACAGACGTGGAAATACAGCATATGAGGCAAAAACAGCATGTGGATAATTCCAATGAGCTTTTGAAGTCAGTCTTTGGTATGACCACCTTTATTCTTAACACAGGCTGAACTCTCTCAGGCAGCTTTCTTGTCATTTCTTTAAGCAGTCTTCAGGAACAGTTCTCCAGGCTTGTTGAAGGACATTCAAAGCTCTTCTTTGGATGTTGGCAGCCTTTTGTTCTGTTCTCTGTCAAGATGATCCCACTCTGCTTCAGTGATGTTGAGCTGTGGGTTCTGTGGAGGCCAGTCCATGACTGATGGTGTTCCACTGTGTGCTTTTTCTATCCAAGTATGATTTTACTATTTTATCCACCATGTTTAACAGATGGCTGTAGACACTCACTTTTGTACCTCTTCTGACTTTTCTTGAAGATGATTTGGACCAGAATTTCAAACTTCCACTGAGATCATTACTGCCAAGGCTTCAGTGAACAGTGGACGGATCAGCTTAAGGTCTCTCGGGTCATGTGTCAGCTCTTTGCTGGATTTTCTTTTCCCTATTTCTTAAAAACACGATTTTCAGATAGTTGTTTTTAGACCTGCCACTTCTTCTTTGTCCTCCACTTGTCTGTTTAAGGCTGTCAAACTGTGTTTATCTTTGGCATTTTTCACCGATTCAACGCAAAATAGGATCAAATGATGTTTCTGTTTCTGTGGCGGCTCACCAGCTAAGATGATATGATCAAAATCCAAACTGGACCAAATCCAAGCAGAGTGAAAGTCGTCAACGCCTTTTTTCTCTTTGTTGACAGGATAAGCTGCTGGTTTTCACATAACCTAGAAGTGTTTTGAAAGCTTCCTTTGATATATCGTAAAGTGTGGGTGATGAATACTTAAACTGAAAGAAACCAGAAAAACATCTATTGTCTGTTTCACATTATTTCTCCTCATTTGAGTAGTAAAGTCTAGGTCATGTGACGATATTCACATTATTTTGCCTTTTTTTAAACCAACTTTTGTGCTACACTCAGTTTTTTAATGGTGTTTTTCACAGTTTAGGATTTTTTATATTAGAATTTCTATCAGAGAAACACACACAAGTTCAAATAACTGCAGACAAAACCAGGATTAGCTCACTCTACACCCATTGGATAAAGGCAGATCGGTGCCGCTTTCCTAAAAAAATACATTTTTTTTCTTTTTACTTACTGAAACAGCCCAATGACAGTGTCTTATAATTGGTTACATTGTTACTGTAAAATAATGTGCTGTCACTAGTGAGACGTCTTCAGAGCTTTTTGTTTTAATGTACGTGTTGCATTTATTCCTATTAAAGAGACGCAGGGAGGGCTGAACATACCAGCTGCCTGCGGTTTTCTTCCAGCCAGAGTCCAGAAGTCCCAGGAAGGATCCAAGGGTGAGCTGAAGAAATCATCCAAAGGACCAAATTTAAAGCATACGGTTTGTTACAAACCAAACAGATGCAAAGAGTTTAAAATGATCAATCAATATATATAAATCAATACAGCCGTCCATAATTAATTTCACACTCAGATGAAGGTTACCAAATCTGCACCGAGTGAGGCAAAACCTTTGGCTACTGCAGCTTGAGATGCTTTCCTGTTCCTCCTGACAACTTTTTACATTTCTTTAGTCGTATCAACCAGATGTCTCACTAAATAAAATCAAATATGATTTTTTTTTTTTTTAAAACAGCTTACAATAACTCCAGATGCATAGCCAGTCACATTCAGGCTCTCTGTTCGGGTCGTTGTGTAGACCCCCAGCACCACTAGCAGCAGGGACAGATTGAGCATGCCCAGCACCAGCCGTAGAGCTCGCCTGACCTTCACCATGATGTCTGCCAGCCAGCAAACAAAGAAATAAACATAGTTTCAGTCATATTAAAACGTTACAGTGCCGGTTCAAATCTCGACAGCTGCCCAACTTAGTTTATTTTGTTTATCTGGATTTCATTTATTTGACTTTTATTGCGAAAACTATTACCCAACCACAGACACCCATCTTGTTTAGTTCACATGCCATGAAATATTTACAGCTCAATAAAATGAGGCATGGAAATGGACTTGAATCCACGGTTTCTGAACACTGGACAAAGAAACCATGAAAGCGCGCACAATATCAGTGGCAGCCAACAAAGGAAACATCTGTGCACTTTAAAACACAATTTAGGGAACAATATCAGGGTTACACTGGAGCACAACATTAGAACGTGTAACAATGCAAAGTTCAGCATCTTTTAGCTCTTATAAGGAAGCAGGAAAGATAAACTTTAGTGAAGTTTACTGACAAAAGTTAAAGCTCACACAAACACAGCAGAAAGGGTTCATGTAGCTTCCTGTCTCTTTCCTTGTTTATGTGACATTAAAAGCACAGGAGCAGTGAGATTCATCTCCTCCCGTGACCTTCACACTTTATGGACATGATTACAACACCACCATCAGTTTTACTGACAGCCTTTATCACTGAGCTTCTGTGAAAACCCCAAACTGTGCTGCAACAAATAACACTTCACCTGCCTTATCAAAAACGTGATTGGATTAAAAGCAACAAAACAATTAAGTAAACTGGATCCAAGGGGATTTGAATTATTATGATCAGTCAAGTTTAATACTCCTGTCCCATCCAGCTGTGATGCCACCACCGCTCTCTTACCTGTTGCTCGGCTCTGTGGGCTCCGTTTGTCCCGACCCGGTGCTGTTCCCTGAATCCAGACCATAAATCCTCCTTTGAAACACAGATTTCCCTCCGACAGCTTCTGATGAATGCAAACAGCCGTTCACTTGAACAGTCGTTTGAGCTGCACAAGCATCAGCTGCATGAGTGTAGCAGCTCAACTTCAGTGAGAGAGGAGAGCTCCTGCGTCCGATGCGTTCAAGCACGGTCGGAACCGTGAACTTCAGCTGGAAAGTCACTTGACAGTTAAATTAGGTAATAACACTGGGACCCTTTACAATCCCGAGTTGTAAATCAAATAAAAGCACGTGGCTGCCCGAGAGCTGGTGCATGTCTTATGTATTAATGTCACATATTTTCTTTGCACGCGTAGGCGTGGTTTTATTAACTATGTGTACATTTTGCGCTCATACAAAACTTACTGCGGTAAAGTGAGCCGTCATTTGTGAGCCGCGGTCAAGCCAGCCGCCTCCTATCCGCCGCATAAATTTCCTTGCGCTTTTACACCAGTCTTTACGGTAGCGCCTTTTCGCTTTATATCCTGATTGAAAGCCTAGACTCGCGCACACATGCACGCGCGTGAACAGTAATACGCACGCGCGCACACAAATTACAATGGAACAGCCCAATACAGCCATCGTGACAGTCTGGTTGCATATTCAAAAATTCATTAAAAATCATTCTTAAAAGTTGATGCCAAGCTTTCAACACAATCCTCTTCTCGGACACCTACTTTACCTCTGGGCCAGTTTTTACCCAGATTTACTGTAATATTACTCAGAAATCACAGTAAACTCATATTCAGTGCAATACAGTCAATGCACTACAATTATGTTTATTTCAAAATTCATTAAAAGTCATCCTGAATAGTTGAGGTCCAACTTTCAACACATCCCTCCTCTGGGACACCTACTGTACCTGTGTGCCAATTTTCATCCAGATTTACTGTAGAATTCCTCAGAAATTAAAGGGTACTTGTATCCAATGCAGTCGGCCAATACAGTAGAATTATGTCAATTTCAAAATTCATTAAAAATCATCCTGAGTAGTTGATGTCCAACTTTCAACACATCCCCCCTCTGGGACACCTACTGTACCTGTGTGCCAATTTTCATCCAGATTTACTGTAGAATTCCTCAGAAATTAAAGGGTACTTGTATCCAATGCAGTCGGCCAATACACTACAATTATGTCAATTTCAAAAATTCATTAAAAATCATCCTGAGTAGTTGATGTCCAACTTTCAACACATCCCCCCTCTGGGACACCTACTGTACCTGTGTGCCAGGTTTCAGCCAGATTTACTGTAGAATTCCTCAGAAATTAATGGGTACTTGTAT